CTTCCATACAGTAGGGGGCTTCAGCAAAGGACATACTGGGACCAGGCAGACTAGCCGGAACAGGATGCTGCAGTGTTCTTAGTCGCATATTCCCCTCTCAAGTGGAATTGGTGGGGAGTGCCTGGCCTGGGTGTCTCCGCTGACTTAAGACCCAGTAGGCTAGCCCAAACCAGGTCCCAGCACCTGGAGGTGAACCCTAGCAGTGAAGCCTCCAGTAGGTTGACCTGGAAGGGCAGGCAAAACATAGGCTGCCCAGGTCTGTGTCTCCCTAGTACATGTCAGTGGGCAGGAACATCTAGCTGTTGCAATTCAAACAAACTGTAACTGACAAAGAAAGAAACTGAGCCTCCTATATACGCTTGAATGGAAGGAACAAAAAATATGGGAAGAGGGAGCAACAAGAAAGGGTCCTTGGCCCCCAATCCTGAGAAACACACAATATCAGACATGGCACCAATAGACATAAAGCGATATCTCCAGAGCCTTATAGACCAGTTCAAAAATGAAGTTATTAACGACCTAAAACAAGATATAAAGAATAGTTAGAGAAATGCTAAGCACCACCCAAGAAAAAACAGATGGTAGAATGGAAGAACAGAAAAAAAGGGGAGAATTGTTTGATGGAGAAAATAGAGAAAACATAGAATAGTTGAAGCAGGTTCAAAGAGATTACCAGGAAACTAAAAACTCTATCGAAAGTTGGCATAACAGTTGAAAGAAACTAAGGATAGATTATCTGAACTGGAGGGCAGATTTGTAATGTGGGAGCATGAAATGAAAATCTTCTTAAAAATAACAAGAAAACAGACAGCAATAATACAAAGGCTAGAAGATGATAAGAGGATCTATAACTTAAGAATTAAGAATGTAAAAGAAGAAGTAGGGACACAAACAAATGGACTACAAAAGCTACTCACAGAAATAATCCAAGAAAATTTCCCTAATTTAGCAAATGGTAAAGATACTCAGATATATGAGGCATACAGGACCCCAGCCACCTACAACCCAAACAGAGCTACACCCAGGCATATAATAATCAAAATTCCAGAAATCCAATATAAGAACAGAATATTAAAAGCCATCAGAGACAAGAAACAGATCACTTACAAGGGAACACCCATGAGAATTACAGCAGACTTCTCGGCACAAACCATCAAATCATGAAGAGTGTGGGGGGAAATAATTCAAGCTTTGAAAGATAATAACCTTCAGCCAAGATTGATATATTCTGCACAACTGTCCCTAGAAATTCATGGAAAAACAAAGTGCTTCCAGGATAAAGAGGAACTAGGGGAATTTGAAACCACCAATTCAACTCTACAGAGAATACTGCAGGATATTCTAAAAAAGGAAAATACCAAGATTCCAGAAATAGTGGCAGAGAGGCCACAATGAATGGAGCAGAAAGAGAAATGAAGAAGACAAACTGACAACTAATGACAGAAAAAGAGCTCAACAGAAATGAGGCAGAGAAGATTGGATGATAGGAACAGCTATTTTGGAGAAAACAAGACATAATAGCTAGTGCTGAGTTAGTATCATTTTGTTTTGAAGTCCCATCAAGCTTTTATTCTTCTGTTTCCATTGGTCTTAACAGGTTGTATCTTATTGGATTTTATTATATGCGATAATATAAGCAAAAACTTTTATAGACAAGGAGATTATACAGAAACCATTGTTCATTTTCTGTTAGTTGGCTCTAAATACCCTGTAATAATGTCATTCTCTTGAATGGTTTTACATTGTCTGGATATGTTTGGTGCTGCAGTAAATGAAGTTATACTCAAAGATTTCAAGGAAAGAGACACTATGGTAACTACTTTTATGTCAGGATATCTTGTGGTGAAATACTATTTTGCTTAAATGGTTATGTTTTGACCTGTGCTGTTTTGCTGTTATGCCCTCTTTCATCCTTTTGATTTGACTGACTCTGTTCTGCTATGTCACATTTGGTTTTACTCTCTTCAAAAAAAGTAATAAGAACTGTGGAAGTAATGAAACCCAAAATGTGTAATTGTCATTGTACAAAAGAAAAGAAAATAAAGTGTTCTAAAGGTTATAACTGCATATATGTTTAAGTGTATAAGATAGATAACCATATTACTGAGTTTTGTTGGATCACTGAACAAAACTGTTTGCAGTCTCACTGAAAGTCCACTTTATATGCTTTAATTTTGTAACTTGAGCAACTATTTCTAAGATGAGAATATGTAAACTATTAACTAGTGATTTCTTACTGTTTATTCTTTAAATTTTGTATTACTTGTACCCTTTTTCTGTTTTTTTTTTCTTTTTCTCCTTAAATAAAATTTTTAAAAAATTGCCGCCTTGCCTAGAAGGTGCACAAGCAAGACAGAGATTTGGTGGCAGTCTATTTTCAACTTTAACAAGTGGGTGGTACCTGGAGGGGTCATGCAGTTCTAGTTGCACATTCTGGAGTTATCTGAAGGTTACCTATCAAATGTTTTGTTTTCTATGACTCACAGAAATTACTGTCAACACTCTCAGATGCTGAAGGAGGCTCACAAGTTCAAGACCAGCTTGAAAAATTTAGTGACTTAGAGAGATAATGTCTATAAATAAATAGGTAGTAAATGAGTAAGTAAATAAGTAAATAAATAAAAACCAAGGAACCATAAGGCTAGGGTGTAGCTCAGTGAGACAAAGATCCTGTATTCAAGCCCTATACCAAAAACATAGTAAGAAAATAAGAAAAGAAAATTACATTATATGCTGCTCTCCAAATGACACATTGAAGGCTTGGTGAAAATGAAAACACTTCACTGAAAGCTAGATCTGAGGACATGGAGGGGCCTTATCACCACAATTCACCATGCAACTGTGCCCAGGTATGCAAGGGCTTCCCCAGCTCCATACTGGAGAGGGAATATAACAAGACAGTAGATAACCCCAAGTTTGCTTTATCTTTTCTTGAAATTTTCTGATATCTCCCATACTATGTGGAAAGGAAAATGGACTTTGACAATAGATAACCCCAAGTTTGCTTTATCTTTTCTTGAAATTTTCTGATATCTCCCATACTATGTGGAAAGGAAAATGGACTTTAACCTGATGTCAGCACATTCTGTCCATTTATCTGGGTTAAAGAGAGGAAGGGGAGTGGCCATGCTCTGGATCTAAGGGAGAAAATTCTAACTTGGGCCAGGTGTGGTAGTGCATGTAGTCTTAGAATTTGGGAGGTTGAGGCAGGAGAATTTCATAGAGTGCAAGGTCAGCCTGAGCTACATGGTGAGTTTCAGGCCAGCCATAATTACATAGTGAGACCCAGTCTCAAAATTTTTTTTTCTGGGCTGCAGATACAGCTCAGTGGCACAGTGCCTTCCTCGCAAGTACAAGATCTTGAGTTCAATTCCCAGTACTGAAAAATAAAATAAAATAAAACAAAAATAACCTTTGCATGCACTAATGTAAAAAGGCTTCCAGCAGCAAACTTTGCTGCATATCTCACAACAGGAAAATACCTTGAGTGCAAAACAGCTAGTCACTGGCTTCCTTCCCTAGCACATTCCCCAAAGAAAGAAAATACAAAACACCCAAATACTTGGCATCCGAAAGTTGACTATAGAGGAAGAAATTCTTAGTGTAGTCAACATGGGAAAGCCTTTATTGTCTCTATAATCTTATAGAGCATAAAAAAAAATCTACCAATGCTACAGCTATGAAAAGGCCAAAGCGAATAGCTTGTGTAAGAAAATTTTCAACCAGAAGTAGAGCCTCAGGCACCAGAAACACTCATACTGGTGTGGTGGTACATGCCTGTAATCCCAGAACTCTGGGAGGCTGAGGCAGGAGGATCACAAGTTTAAACCCAGCCTAGGAAATGTAGCAATTTAGAAAGACCCTATTTGAACACAAAAATAAATATAAAGGACTGGGGATGTACATCTGCAAAAGTCTTGAGCTCAATCCCTAGTACTGAACTGAGATGGGAGAAGAGACACATATGCTCAACAGCCTCATGAAGGGCAGCTACACAGAAGACTCATCTCCCTCCTTTCCTGGGGCAGGACCTGTGTATAGTGGTTATCCTTCATGAGTTCAGAAAAGAGCTGAAGTTCAGGCTGGCCTCCAAGTCACGTTATCCCTCCTGCCTCAACTTCCTGAATGCTGAGATTACAAGCATGTGCCCTATACCCATTTAACCAGCTAAAAATATTTTTTCATTTTGAGAGAGTCTAAATCACTAAATTACCCAACCACCTAAGAAATTTTTCTTTTAACTTGAGACACCGTTTCACTAAATCACTAAATTGTCCAGGCTGGGTTTAAACTCATGATCCTTCTGGCTCATACTCCCAGATGGAGAGACAGTAGGTGCGTACCTCCAGTCTGGCTAGAAATGGGCTACTATCAGTAATGACAAGAAGGTGACAGTCCAGGGAGTGCCCAACAACATCTGCCACAGAGGAGTCAGTGGGACAAAGGTTCTTTCCTGGGAAATACTGAGGAGTATGTTGAACCAAACTGATGGCCTGAAAGCAGGCTAAAAAACAGGCCCAGAGTTCACCTGCAAGAATAGGTGGTACAAATAGCAAGTAGAAGGTTGCTGTTTCCAGTACTGTCTCATATTCCCACTGGTTTGAGGAAAATAAATTGCAAAATTTCTTCTGGGGGTGTAAATAAATGGTAGAGTGCTAGCCTCATATGTAGGAAGCCTTGGGTTTAAATCCCATATCCCAATGTCTCAGTTATTTTTCTCATTGTTGAGACAAAACATCCAATGCTCAAAATTAAGGGAAGAGTTGGACATGGTGGCACACTCTGTTAACCCCAGCACTTGGGAGGCTGAGGCAGGAGAATCGTTTGCAAATTCAAAACCAGCCTAGGTTACAAAGTGAGCCTAAGTCCAGTCTGAACTGCATAGCAAGGTCCTGTCTCAAAAAAAAAAAAAAAAGTTAAGGGAGGAAAGGTTTATGTAGCTCACAGTTTGTAGAGGTTTCTGTCCATAATTGGTAGCTCCAAGGCTGGCACATGGCAAGCAGAAGATGGCAAAAGCAACAAAGAGAGTAGGAGAGAGAACAAAATTCTTTAAAATTTTTTTTTTATCGGTACCGGGGATTAAACTCATGACCACCTGCTTGCAAGGCAGGTGCTTATGCCATTGAGCTAAACCCCCAGCCCTAGAGAGAACAAAATTCTTTATTTCTCTTATATCATAAGCAAACTACGTGCCCTAGGATGTGTGTAGCACTCACACCCTTAATCCTAGCCAGAACCATGCTAAACCAATCAGTGGGCTGATTTATTATTTACACACCCATAATCCCAGCATCACACACTCTAGATTCAGCCACCTCTGCAAAAACTCTATGACTGCATGCAGCTTTGGGGGAACATCTAGAAGCAAACCATAACACACAGTACCAAAAAAAAAAAAAATTCCACAGTAAATGAACTTTCTTACATGACAGGTATTAACAAGTACTACCAATTCTGTGGACAGCTATAGGTAATCGATAGAGACATGGATACCTGCAGAAGGAGGGAAATAAAGGCCTTAAGGAATTTGATGCAGGACTGATAACCCTAAAATCTAAACCCTCAGAGTGAAAAGAGAAAACCTTTTTCTGCCAACAATAAGGTCTGTATCTTTCCTTTTGTTTTTACTGTCCACTTAAGATTAGTCTTGAGAGGAAAGTAACAATGACTTAATATTGTGATATGTAGGGCAAGGCAAGAACTAGATGGTCTAGAGCAAGATGGAGAAAGTGGCTGCTGTCCAACCCAAGTTTACAAAGAAATGAATGCATTAGGCAACCGTCAAAAACAATTCTAGACTAAAGAACTATTTAGGCTATGGGCTTGCATTTTTGGGGTATTATCAATAATGTATTGCAAAGCTGATCTCTTTTTAAAACAAAATCTTACTATGTAGTTCAGACTGCTTTGAATGCGCAGTAATCTTATACCAGCCTCCACACTAGCTGCAGTTTTTGTTTTTGTGGCAGAACATTCCTATGTAGTCCACGCTAGTTTTGCACTCACTATGTAGCTCATACTAGCTTTGAACTCGTGGCGATCCTCCTGTCTCAGCTTCCGGAGTGATGGGATTACAGTTGTGCTACCCGGTTTCCTCTATTTTTTTCTCCTCTAATTCTTAAAGTGTCCTTCTAGTTACGTTTTCTTCTTTGTGTTCCTCGCTTGAGGACTGGAACCTCGAACGTTCGCCCTTTGGAATCTTCAGGAGCAGCCTGTACGCACTTAGGTACCTGGGGACTCTGGCTCCTAAATCCCAGCTCAGCGCGAGGAAAGCTGGTGTAAATTCCAGGACTCACTTCCCAGGGCTCCCAGCGATTTTGCTTAACGGTTGCCAAGGAGACCGGACCGTCCGGGTTTCCTGACTTACCGGAAGTCAAACGGGAACTACAGCACCCGGAAGGCTTTGCGCATGCCGTCCGCAGCGCTCATTGGGTTAAAGAGGGCGAGGGCTGGACTTCCGGCGTCCGGGTCTGTCACTTTGCTGTGGGGAGTAGGGCCAGACCAGCAATCCGGGTCGGGTTCCGGGAGTAGCTGCTCAGGAGGTTCAAGGAGCCCGAGACAGAGATAGCAAAGGGACCCGCTAGCAGTTCTGTGGCGGTGTGCCTCGCCCACCCACGCGTCGGGCGCACGGGCTGCGCTGTAGGGCTATAGGGCCGCGCCCGGGGCCTCGAACTCTTCGGCCCGCGTTGGTCTCGACGCGCGCTCTGCGGTCGGAACGCGGAGACCTGCGCTGTCCGCGATGCTGGTCGCTAGCCTCCTCCCAGCCCGAGCCTCGGGTCCCACCGCGGCGACGGGCGCGCTGACGGATCCGGCGCTGGTAAGAGTGGGAGCCCACGGACTGGAGACCCTTCAAGGAAAGGGCTCGCTCCGCTCTCTCGCGGTGCGGGTTGGGGAGGTTGGCGCAATCAGCAGCCGCAGTGCTGGCCAGTGAAGTGTGCATGTGCGGGAGTCCCACACCTGCCACTCCAGAGGGTGAGGGTACCGCGCGTGCGCCCGCGGGGGTGAGTAGACCCTTGGCTCTTTTTGTGAGCGCCGGGACAGCTGCTTTGTGTGACCGATGGGGTAGGCAAGACAGCGAAGTTGGGGCGTCAGGAGTGGCTGGCGGTTTGGAACAGAAAATTGGACGTCGTCCTGGTTGAAAAAAATTTTTTTTCGATAATGGGGATTGAACCTACAGCCTTTCACCTGAACTACATTATATGTCTTGCCGAGTCACCGTCTCTTCCAGGCTGGAGTAGAATTTGTGATTCTCTTGCTTCAGCCTCCCAGAGTGCTGGGATCAAAGGCATGGTCCACCATGGACAGCCGGTTAGTTGTTTTGTTTTTGTTTTCTTTTGCTCATTAGAATTTTAAAAGCATCCCACCTTTCACTGAGTGGAGAACAGGTGTGTGAAGGGAGGCGCCTTCTGCAGTCTAGGTGGACAGCGATGGTTCCTGGATCATATGGAGCAGTGGTGGTGGGAAAAATGGTTGGATTGTGGTTATATCTGCTTAGGCGTGAGGTGTGCAGTGTGAGTAAATGTTGTGAGTAAAGAGCTCTCCCCGGATTTTCAGCTTGAATGCCTGGAAAAATGGAGTTGCTACAGACAGAAACAGGAATTTGAGGGGGAAAGTGGCTTCTTTCAGAGAAAAGATCAGGAGTCTGTGATGTCCCAGAGTGGTGATGTTGGGGCACCTGCACTTCTGGTGTCCAATTGACAAAGTCCCAGTGTCAACGGCCAAAGCAGGATCTGGGAATTGGACTGAGGGATGATTCTGTGGACTGAGCCATGGTAGTCAGGATTTAGAGGAAGCAAGAGCAGAAGTGGCTGGGCCTTCAGAGCTGTCAGTGAAGGACCCTGGCAGGTGGCTGGGGGTGGGAAAGTGGGCAGAAGAGTGGATAGGAAAGGGAGCAGTGCTGGGGAGGGAGGAAGGAATTGATTTCTTGTGTGTCCTCCAGATCCATGGGGCCCACACCCTACAACAAGCAGATGTGACTATTCAGTTCATTAGACGAGAACCAGTCTTAAAATGTCAGGCAGACACACCAGGGGCAGGGGGTTAATAAGGTCTTGCACTATTGCTCAGTGCAGGTTCATGCTGGGGCCTGAATGGACATCTGGGGCAACTCTTAGTGTGGTTTCAGCCCAGGGCCCCAAGGAATACTCTCCCTTGCTGAGGCCTTGGAGAGGCCAAGAGAGAGCACCTGTGGCCTGCAGGGGTAGGGGTGGAGGAAATGTGATCCAAGATAGGTTTGGGTAGGACCTGGGATGAAAGAAGAGTGTTGGAGGCTTCAAGAGATGAGGAGCTGGGTACTGTCACACTGCCATCTCTCAGACTGTCTCCTTCTTCCTGCTGTTTCAGGGCATGATGGCTTTTGAGGATGTGGCCGTGTACTTCTCCCGGGAAGAATGGGTACTCTTGGATAAGGCCCAGAGGGCCCTGTACCGCCATGTGATGCTGGAGAACTTTGCACTTGTGGCTTCACTGGGTAAAACTCTGGGTCATTATAGGAAGTAATGGTGGCACCAGAATGGACCATCAGGATGGCTCCTGCCTGGCTGTCCATGGGTAGGGTCTTCTGATCAGGACCCCAGAGACGCGTAGTCCAAGTGTCTCAGCCATTTGCATGTCCCTGTCTAGCTGCACTTTCCTGGGCCTGGTCCTGTCCCCTTCCTGTGGTACTGCTGACACTGTCGCTGCTGGTTGCACAGATGGCACCACATGTTTCCATGTACCGCTGGCTCCTGTTGCATGTTGAAGGGTGGCTGGTCCTGAGCTGCTTTTGGCCTCTCACCTGGTCTTCCTCCTTCCAGGATTTTTTTCCTCCCCACCTCGTGTGGTCGTCCAGCTGGAGTGTGGCGAGGAGCCCTGGGTTCCCACTGGGAAGGACTTGATCCTGGGCAGGAACGCTCACAAGAGGCTGGACCTTGGTGAGTCTGGGCTCATGATGGGGTGAAGTCAGGACCAGTCTGTCTCCACGAACATACTGTTCTGCCTCCTGGCTCTCTTCCCTGCCTTCATCAGTTACTCCTTAAAGGGTACTCTCAAAGGCAGAGTTCCAAGGGTACAGTAGCTGTGTTCAGAGGGGAAGTCACCAGCAGGCCAAGGACAAACCTATTCAGAGTAACACTCCCAGCTCATCTGGGTTGTGTTTGTGACACAAACCTTTCACATCTCATTGCCATTTTTGCAGAGTCTTTCCTTCATTCCTGTGTTTAAACGTTACTTTTGCAGTTGACATGACCAAGTTTGTTTCAGGCACTCTGGATCCTGTTTTGTGGAGCTGATGCATAGAAAGGCAGTCAGTTGAGTACGAGTGCAAGGGGCAAAACTCAGCTGGGGAGTAAGCTGAGAAAGGAACAGGATATGTTGTGGGTGTTAGTCTCTGCCACTGTGACAAAATACCTGAAATAAAGGAGAAAAGTTTGTTTGGCTCACAGTTTCAGAATTTCAGTCCATGGTTGGCTAGTTCCACAGCTTTTGATGTGTGGCGAGGCAGAATATCATGGCAGAAGGGTGTGGAGGAGAGGAGCTGCTCATTTTGTAGCAGCCAGAAAACATTCTTATGGTCCAGTAATCTCAGGACTCCAACTATGAACACAGAGCCTTCTGGGAAAGATTTGGAAAAAAGTTTTTTGAGCCCAGGGCAAATGCACTGAGGTCTATCCCCAGCTTTAAAAATTTTTTTTTTAAATTTTGAGACAGGGTTTGGGTTTGAACTTTTAATTCTCTTCCTCAACCACTTGGGGTGCTGGGATTCCACCTGGGTGGGGGATAGTTTATATTCAAACTGTAACATTCTACTCCTGGCTCACAAAAGATCATATACATTTCTTAATCTGGTATAGGTTTTAGTCCATCACCAAGCATCCCCATGCCTCAACTATTCCCTTATTTCTGAAAAGTCCAAGTTCAAAGTCTCTGTAACTCAAGAGTGAAAGAGATGAGCCCTTAGCTGTGAGCACTTGTGAAATTCATAAAGCAAGTCATAATACCAAGAAATACTGGCAAATGTTAAACATTCCCATTCTAAGTGGAAGGAGTGGGGAGACAGAAAGGAACTGGACCAAAGCAAGAACACAGCCCAGCAGGCAAATTAAGCCCTGTGGCTCCATGTCCATTGCCCAGGGCACATGGTTGCATGATACAAGTTCCAGAGGGTCTAGGTGGCCCTGCCCTTACAGCTTTGCCAGTTGCAGCCTACATGGCATTTCTCTTGGACTGGCTGTGCTCACTATCTATGGTGTTCCTTGGAAGACATTCCATGTTCCTGGCATCTATAACTTCCTGGGGTCACCACTGTAGCTTTGACTTTGCTCTCAAGCTTCACACATAGCCCTTTCAGGGCTTCCCCACAGGGACTCTGACCCTGCCACACATCACTCAGCCTCTAAGACCATCCTTTGAAGTCTCAGTAGAGTCTTCCATAACCCAGGAACTCATATTTTACATGCCTGCAAACCAGCATCATATGGTGATACCAAGCCAGCTAAAACAGCGGCCAAATCCTCTTGGACAAGAGTTATAGCAAACCCTGAGTACCTACATAAGAGTGTGATTTTAAAAAAAAAATTCTGGGAAAACAACTAAGTAGCCCTGATGGAGCAGGGTGCTCTTCAAAAAGTTTATAGCTTTACGACCTTGAGCTCTTGATGAGTGAGATCTGGCTTATTCTGAAAAGGCTCCCTACTGTCCTATGACAAAGAACTTGGCTTTTTTTCCCCCAATAATTTTTTTTTATTCTTACATTTTAGATATAGATAATGATAGCATTTACCATAGACAATTTGTACCTATACATGATATGTCTTGTTTCTTTTTTTTCCTATTCTTCTTCCCTACCTTCAACCCATCTTCCTATCCTTATTTGCAAAAGCATTGTTCCCATTTTTTCCCTTCTATTCTGTTTTTTCTTCTCCACCTTCCCTTCTTGTTCCCCTTTCATTTGAATGTTTTCTTCCCATTTCTCAATATCTACTACTTATTTATACTTTCCATTTCTTGCATCAGAGAAATAATGCCCTATTTATACGTGTGTATCTGCCTTATTTCACTTAAGGGATGGTCTCTCAACATCATTCATTTAGCTAAAAATGTTTTAAACTTATTCTTTTTTTTTGAGACAGGGTCTAGCTATGTTGTTCAGACTGGCCTTGGGTTCACTATATAACCCAGACTGGCCTCAAACTTACAGCAGTCCTCAACTTTGTTAGTGCTGGGATTACAGGTGTGTGCCACCATGCGTGGCAAGCTTATTCTTCTTTATGGCTGAGTAGTACTTCATTGTGTATTACGAGAAACACATCTTCTTTATACATTTATCAGTTGATGGGCATCTGTACTGTTTCCAAGGTTTAGTTATTATAAACCACATTGTTATACACATGGGTCTGCATATATTGCTGTGGTATCATACCTTTAATTCTTTCAGGAAGATACCAAGAAGGGGAATAGCTGGGTCAAATAGAATCTCTAGTGGTTGTTTTGTTTTGTTTTGTTTTTGATACTGGTAATCAAACTCAGAACCTTACTCTTTCCATGCAGACACTTGTATCACTACGCTATATCCCTAGCCCTAGTGTTAGGGGTTTTTTTTTTTTTTTTGGTCGTTTTCCTTTTTATCGGTACCGGGGATCGAACTCACGACTACCTGCTTGCAAGGCAGGCACTTATGCCGCTGAGCTAAATCCCCAGCCCCAAGTTTTAGTTTTTTGAGGAACTTCCACAATGATTTCCACAGTGGCTATACCGATCTACTCTTCCATCATCAGTGGAGCCACCATAGCTGTGCCAGCATTTCTTATTGGTTGATTTCTTGATAATAGCCATTCTTTCTGGAATGAGATGGAATTCAGCATTGCTTTAATTTTCATCTCTAAAGTGATCTGTGATGTGAACATTTTTTATATATTTATTTGTGTATTTCATCTGAGAAGTGTGTATTCATTTCAGATGGCCATTTTTGGATTAGGTCTTTAAATTGGGGCGGATTGTTGTTGCTGCTATTGTTGTTTTTCTTTGAGACAGTCTCACTATGTAGTGTAGGCTGCCCTTGAGTTCACTTATATAGCTCAAGATGGCCTCAAATTCATGATGATCCTCTTGCCTCAGCCTCCTGAGTGCTGGAATTACAGACTGCGTCCCCACACCCAATGTTTTTGTTGTTTTTGTTTTTTGGTGCACCCAGTTTTAGTTCTTTATGTATTTTAGATTAGCACTTTATCTGGGAAACAACTGACAAAATTTTTTTCCTATACTGTTGGTTGTCTCTTTTCTAAGTTGGTGATTTCTTTTGCTATGCAAGAACTTTTTAATAAGATAAGATCCCAGTTGTTGATTCTTTGTGATAGTTCTTATGCAGCTGGGGTTTTGTTCCTAAAGTCTTTGCCTACACTGATATCTTTAAAAGTTCTGTCTATTTTTCCAGTAAATCTATTGTTTTTGTTTTAGTGTTTAGATCTTTGATCCATTTTGATTATAATTTAGTGCCTGGTGAAAGATATGGGTCTAGTTTTAATCTTCAGTATGTTGAAAGCGAGTTTTTCCACCACCATTTTTTATTTTTAAAATTTTTAATTTTTTTTTTTTTTTTTTTTTTTTTTTTTTTTTTTTGGTACTGGGGATCAAACTCACGACCTCACACTTGCCAGGGCAGGTGCTTATACTGCTAAGCTAACCCCCCCAGCCCTCTACCACCATTTATTAAAGAGGCTATCTTTCTTCCAATGAAGGTGTCTGGCCCATTTGTCAAAGATAAGATGGCTGAGTGTGCTTGGGGTTGTTTTTGCATCTTCTAATCTGTTCCACTGATCCTCAAGTCTGTTTTTTTTTTTTTTTTTTTTTTTTTTTTTTTTTTTTTGCCAGTACCATGCTGTTTTTATCACAGTAGCTTTTGTAGTATAACTTTAGGTCGGATTGTGATGCCCCCTGCCTTGCCTTTGTTACCTAGAATTGCTTTTGCTATTCTAGGTCTCTTCTGGTTCCAAGTGAATTTTGGGATTGTATTCTCCAATTCTGTGAGATATATTATTAGTATATTGATCAAGATTGCATTAAATTTTGTGTATAATTTTGGAAATATGGCCATTTTCACTACCTTGGTTCTTCCTACCCAATAACAAGAAATATTTTTCCATTTTCAGACTACTGTAGTTTTCAATGTAAAGCTCTTTTATGACCTTCATTGGGTTGGTTTCTAGGTATTTCATTTTTTTTGGATACTGTCTTGGTTACTTTTCTCTTGTTGCTGAGACAAAATACCTGATGCCCAAAATTAAGGAAGGAAAGGTTTATTTAGCTCACAGTTTGTGGATGTTTCAGTACATAATGTGCTGGCTCCAAGGCAAGGTGGCTCATGGCAGAGAGCAGCAGTGCATGGTGATAGAAAACAGCAAAAGCAACAAGAGTGAAAAGGGAGGAACATGAGAAAAGACTCTTTCCCTCTCTTACATTGTATGTAGGCTACCTACCCTAGATGGGTGTAGCACTCACAGTCATAAATGCAGCACTGGACCATGAGTCTCAAATTCTAGAAGCCTGCTCCCATGACTAAATGAAGATTTGGGGGGACATCCAGACTTAAACCATAACAGATACTATTATGAAACCATAACAGATCCTATTGTGTAAAAGTGTGGTTTCCCCAATTTTTCTCATTCAGTTTCTTATTTGTGGCACACACTTATACCACAGGTATGGTGGCTCACACCTGTAATCCTAGTAGTTAGGAGGCTAAGACAGGAGGATTGCCGTGAGTTCAAGTCCAGTAAGGGCTACAAAGTAAGTTCACAGCCAGCTTGAACTGCATAGTGAAACCCTGTCTCAAAAAAGCCAGGAAAAAAAAAAAAAAAAAAGGAATGCTATGGATTTTTGAGTGTTGACTTTTTATCCAGCTATGCTATAAACTAGAAGTCTTTTGGTGTCTTCTATGTAGAGTATCATGTCATTTGCAAATAATGATAATTTAACTTCTTCCTTTCCTGTCCTTGTTTGTTTTATTTCTTTCTCTTCTCTAATTGGCTGGCTAGCTGGCTTCTTTCTTTCCTCTTTCTTTGATACAGGGTCTCACTGTATAGTCCAGGTTAATCTGAAATTTGCAGCAGTCCTCCTGCCTCACCCTCCTGAATGCTGGGATTAAAATTGCACACCACCATAGCTGGCTTCTGTGGAATTTTTAATCTTCTGGATGTGTTTGGATCTGTTTCATGGATTCTGTTTCTTTCCCATGTTGGGTACTGATGGTTTCCATCATTTTTCTAAGCTCCTTTATGTTTTTAATCTGTATTTGCTCTGGAGTTGCTAAGCATGTCTTTCATTATGATCACTATTTCTGTAGTCAGTTATCTGAGAAATTATTTCTAATTAGGTTTTTTCCTAGCACCTCATTCATGTGTTTTGTTGCTTCCACTGTTACCACTTCAGAGAGTCCCAGGTGGGTGACTTTTGAGTTGTTCTATGTCCTTGCCCCTGAGTTTGTCTTTGGTGAGCTGAAATAGTGGAGCTGTGTCTTGCCTAAGTATCTTCTCATTTTCTTTATTGTTTTGTAAAATGTTTGTAAATGATGACAGGTAGCTTTACTGGTAGTTGAGAACCCTTAGGAAATGACTATTTCTCAGAAATGTCTACCAGGTTTGGCTCTGGGTTTTTTTGTCTGTCCCAAGATCCTACCTCCTTCAGTTGATTGTGATGAGAAAATGCTGCCTATTTGGCCATGCCCCTGGTTCTTTGGCACTGGCCTATAATACTATTTATGAGCCTTGGGCAGTCTCAGCATTGACATATCAGGAAGAACAACTGATTAGAACAATATGTCACCTTGGCCAAGGTACTGCAATCACCTTATCTAGGGTACTAACAATAGCATCAAACAGCCTAGAAAATGACAAATTGTGGTAACTATTAATTTGCCTCCTAAGTGTATGAATTATATTTATGGTTATATAGCAAAATCTAAAAGGAATCTGAAAATTCAATACAGTAAATATGCCCTCAATATGGCAAATTTACCCTCAACAGAGTAAGTTTAAAAGGAGCTTGAGGAAAAACAGAGAACAGAAGAAAAGGGAGAGATTAGAAACAAGTTTAGAGGACAAGGTAAGATTACAAACTTTTGGGAAACTGGTGAATAAGACCAGAGGGAAAGAGAAGGAAGAAATAAAAATGAGAATAGAGTAGAAGAACAACAAAATAACTAAAAACAGTTGGGATGTGGTGGTACATGCCTTTAACTCCAGAATTTGGGAGGCTGAGGCAAGAGGATCATCTGTGACTTCAAGGCCAGCCTAGGCTACATAGTGAGACCCTTTCTCAAAAAAACACTAGAAAGGATGTTCACCAACATTGTTTCTAGTGCAAGCAACAAACAATGGAAAAAAGAAGAAAAAAAAATGCTGACTTCAGGACATGTCTCTGTTGTCACTGGTATACAGTGTGGTCAGACAGCCCAGATTCATGCTGACTAATCTTAGCAAGCCTGCATCTTTAGTTCCACTGAAGTTTAGCTTGGTTTCTTGCCATGAGGCTGGAACCTGATTTGTTCACCCTGCAACACGCCACATTCCTCCTGCTGACTTGAACTCAGCTCCTTGGTTTCCTGTTGGTTTGAACTTTCTGCCTCTCTCTGACCCCAGGAGATGCTGAGTTCCAAGCTCAGTTGGTTCCTCTGCAAGATAGCCATAGGCCAATCTCTTGAGGAATATCAACCTGAATCACACAGCAGCCACTGCAGTCTGCGGGTTCCACACCTACATTCCATTTGTGAGTTTCTCCGTGGAGACCCCAGGGGCCCCTAGTCCTCACTGGGCATCTGCAGGTTCAAGCTGCGCCTCCTAGGCAAAGAGCCAGGGCTCAGGTAGAAAGTGCTGCTTGCTACCTCCTTCTATATTGAGGTCTCTATCTTCATTCTCAGGCTTCAATTCTCAATTTAGATCTTAACTGGGTCCCAGAGAACTACTTCCCTCTCTTCCTCACATTGCTATATTCCAGTGTCTGGACACCAAATCTCAGAGGGGTTGTTTCTCTGTTGTTCACTCCTTGGCATTTTCTCAGAAGTCCATAATCCTTGCCTTTTTTAAAAATTTTTTTTATTTTTTTGTATGTGTACCAAGAATCAAACTCAGGACTTGCTAAGCAGGCACTTGTTCCACTGAGTCCTTGGCTATTTAAGGACTCTAATTTCTTCTATAGCCATGCCTTTTATGGTCCCAGCTTTATGGAGGCTACTCTTCTAGTTAAACTAACAGTTTAAAAAAAGTTCTGCTCTATCTTTTCCTAATAAGTCTCAATGTAAATCTGGCTAAAAGCTAGCATTATCATGCAACAGCATGAATGCTGTGCTGCCTTGAAATTTCTTCCACCAGATTAATTAGTCATTCACCTTTAAACCCAGCCTGCTCTGAAGTCTGAAGGTACATACAAAATATAGGTGTATTCTTTGCCAGAATATACCATGACTGGCCTTTAGCCCAATTTCTGACAGAATGATCTCTACTGGCCAGGTGTGGTGCACGTCTATAACGCCAGCACTCAGAAAGCTGAGGGAAGAGGATCATCTTGAATTCCAAGGCCAGCCTGAACTATGCAGTGAGACCCTGTCTCAAAAAACAAAACAAAAAATAGCATCTTTGCTGTCCACATTCCTGTCAGGTATCTAGTCTGAGTTCACACCAGAATCATCCATTCAGCTCCAGTTCCAAAGGCTTCTGAGGCACATGGTCGGGTGTAGACCCTGCAGGGACGCACACTTTAGTAACACTTTTCTGAGGTGATCAGCTACCTCTCCCCATGGTCCCACAGACAACAAAGCCATGGTCTGAAAGTGAGCCAAAGTAACCATTTCCTCTTTTTGTCAGCTATTTAGTCACAACGATAAAGATTACAGGGAGAGCTACAGGAAGAGTGCTTGCTTGCTTTCTCTACCCTACGTTTTGGGGGCCCATGCTTTTTCAGCCCCTTCCCAGAAGCCTCAGCTGTTCTTCTAGGTTCCACACCCAGTAACTAGGTACCTTACTTGTGAACGCAGCCTGCTTGGGTCACCTGCCAGATGACCCAGGCAGCACGTTTTTCTGCCTTCAGGTTCCTATTGTGCGGCCCAGCACAGAGGCATTTTGAGAGAAACCACAGCACCAGCGGCTCTCCCAGGGGCCTTCGCTGGCACCTCCCGTGGTCCTTTTGCCAGTGTCCCGTCAGGCACTACACCATCTCAAGAGAGGAAGCCCATGGGAGTGTCCGTAATCTACTGGGAGAGGCTCCTGCTGGGATCAGGGCTCCGGCTGAGCTCTCCACAGAGGGTTGGCCAGCCCCGGGACAAGGATCTAGAGGATCGGTCATCAATGCAAGTGCCGGAGGACCCTGAGCCAGGGGATCGGAGCATGTCCTGGGGATTAGGGTTAGGGGAGGAGCCAGGCGAGCCAGGCCCACTCCCAGGGGAGAAGCCCTTCGAATGCAGTGCCTGTAGCAAGGTATTCGTGAAGAGCTCTGACCTGCTGAAGCACCTGCGCACTCATACCGGGGAGCGGCCCTATGCGTGTGCCCAGTGCGGCAAGGCCTTCAGCCAGACCTCCCACCTGACACAGCACCTACGCATACATAGTGGGGAGACCCCCTATGCCTGCCCGGCTTGTGGCAAGGCCTTCCGACACAGCTCCTCACTCGTACGCCACCAGCGGATCCACACTGCTGAGAAGGCCTTCCGTTGCAATGACTGTGGCAAAGCCTTCAGCCACGGCTCCAACCTCAGCCAGCATCGAAAGATCCATGCAGGGGGCCGGCCCTATGCATGCGAACGCTGTGGCCGGCGCTTCTGCCGCAACTCGCACCTGATTCAGCATGAGCGTACACACACAGGCGAGAAGCCTTTTGCCTGTGCACTCTGTGGCGCCACCTTCAGCCAGGGCTCCTCGCTCTTCAAGCACCAGCGCGTGCACACAGGTGAAAAGCCCTTTGCCTGCACGCAGTGCGGCCGCGCCTTTAGCCACAGCTCCAACCTCACACAGCACCGGTTGCTGCACACAGGTGAACGGCCCTTCCGCTGCACAGACTGTGGCAAGGCCTTTGCCAAGGGTGCCGTGCTGCTCAGCCACCGGCGCATCCACACGGGCGAGAAACCTTTTGCCTGCACACAATGTGGCCGTGCCTTCCGTGAGCGCCCTGCGCTTTTCCACCACCAGCGGATCCACACGGGCGAGAAGGCCCTGCGGAGGTCAAGGGCCCGGCCTCCCCCGGTGGAGGGGGTAACAGAGGAGACCAGGGCTCCAGCTAACTCAAACCCCTCGCAGGCCTGAGTCCGCTTGCACATGGTGCTGGGATTGTCTTCAGAGGTCATGCTGCAGAGACATCAGAGGTTCAGCCCGACATTGGGCTGTCCCTGTACCTGGACTACAGTCAGAGCCTGGAAAGACCAGTGGAGGAAGCTCTGCATGCTGGCTCTGTTGAGTGCTTTATGGCATGGGAAGCCTGGACCTGTCTGTCCACACATGCACTAGCAGCTTCTCCCAGGCCTCTGCCATCCAGGGATTCCCTGGGACCTCCAAAGCCCTCTGAAGGCTTCTGAATGGGGGTTAGAGGGCTGGCCTGGGCAGGCAGCTGGGTTCTGAACTTCAGCTTCTTCCTCTGGGCAAAGGTTCCTGATAAGGTCCTATATGTTCACCAACAGCCCCTCTTGCTACTGAAAATTTCTTCCAGTGAGCCCTGTGCTGGTATCTATTTCCACTTAACAGATGAAGTGGAGACACAGAAGAGAGGAGGTGAATTGCCTAGGCACACAGCAGAAGCAGACGAGAATTCAGGTACAATGGCCTGGCTCCTTGGGTGCAGCAGACTCTCAGAATATAGAGGCGGGTGGTGGAAGATGTGGCCCTCCCCAGTAGAAAGACAGATCAAGGATGCTGACCCTGGCTGTACATTCACATTCTCACCCACTCCATCACCAGCCCCTGATGCCTGAGTCAATGTTCAAGAAACCTTTACATCTAAGGCTGTATTAACTTCAGAGGAAAAGAGATGAAACTACTCACTTTTGCTGGGTTGGTGGCCACATAGGCCCTGTTGTTCCACCTCAGCTAGAAGGTGACACAGCTTAACAGCTGTGTCATTACCTAAGACTGAGGTCCCTTCAAGCTTTGGGGACAGATTGTGGGGGTGGCCTAGTTTGCCTCCTCTGTCCTTCAGCAGACCAGGCCGTGTTTCAACTTGACACATCAGTACTGGAGAAGTTAATGATCTTTGGACTGGGGGAAGAAAAAGACTAGTATTTACAAATTAGAATGGATATAAATTGTCATTTCTTGCACAGGAATATGAAGTCCACAGTCTAAGCCTTGGCTACACACCAGCATCCAGGTTTTCACAAGACTCCAAAGCAGCTCCCTTATTATATGCAAGGCTCTGAGTTCAATCCTCAGCACCACACACACAGAAGAAAAGAGGCTCCCCCAAAACATTTTTTCTTTTTTGGGAGATGGGAGCTAAGCTGCATCCTTAGCCATTTTATTTTTTATTTGAAGGTGGGTTCTCAAATTACTTAGTTGTCTAGGCTGGAGAACAATATATACTCCTCTTGCCTCAGCCTCCCAGAGTGCAATAATTACAGGTGTACACCACTCGTCAAAGTTTCTTTTTAAACATTTGTGTGAACAATAATGGCCTTTTTCACCCTAATACAATCCAGGCAGTATTAAATGGACATGCAGTTGGGGTGTTGTCATCACAGTTTTGGCATTTGGCCTAACCTAGAGAGGACCATGGGTAGAGAGGCAGCCAGGGTGTAGCCTTGGCAGGGACTAGAACATCTGTATCCTCAGTGGCCAGCAGTGAGTTAGGGTGGAGCTGCTTTCAAGCCTCAGCTCTCCTGGGAGATGAGCCCTGATGAATTCAGGTTATGGAAATGAAGTGGGCAGGGAAAGTAAGGCACGGTTGTGTGCCATCAAGACAGTGGACTCGGGCTGGGGATTTAGCTCAGCGGCATAAGCGCCTGCCTTGCAAGCAGGCAGTCATGAGTTTGATCCCTGGTACCGATAAAAATGAAAAAGACAAAAAAAAAAAAAAAAATAGTGGACTCCAGCCCAGTAGATTCTCTAGTCCCATCACCTCCATGACATTGTAGCCACTTGTGCTCAGATAGCTGTCTGCCATCTTGGAGCCAACCCCATCAGCTTGACAGGCCTCACAAGTTCCTGCAAGGAAGAATGTATGCTAGACTACCTCTCCAAATCCTGCAGGGCAGGTCCTCTGAGCCGGCCCCTGATGTCCTGAGTCACTGTCCCCCTGTCTCCATGCCATGGACTCAGCTGCAAATCTGTGAAATGCAGACAGACCCTCCACTTGCCACAAAGAAACTCCTGGAGAGGTTATGGGATTCAGGGCAGAAGACATCTGTTAAGCAAGTGGGCATCCAGACAGCCACATGAAACTTTTCGTATGCCTTAGGTGGGAATTCCTGGAGCCAAGTTACTGCCCAGACCTCTCAGGCTGCATCCATACCAAATCCTGTGTATTAGCCACTACCCTCTCCTGTGCCACATTCCTTGCCACCTCTGTGCTTGTGCCCCTGTTGACCTTTGGCTCTACTTTCCTTGATTCTACTTCCAACACCAGAACCAGTCGGGGCCTCCAGTCTGGGTTCCCTCCTTCCAACCCTGGTCCCTGAGTTGCCTTTTTCCTCAGCCCGAGGTTATTGCCAGCTGGCCTCTCTTAAACATGAATAAGCTGTGACTAAATTATCCTGGGCTTCTAAGGTCAAAAGGTAAAACCAAACATCATATTTGGTTCCAAATTACTGGAACCACAAAGAAAGTATATGAAACACAAATCAAGTATGTGGATGGGGAAAGGAGTCAATAGTGGCATTCTGGAGCTAGATGTAGTTCAAAGAGATATCACTAATTCAGGGAAAGCCAAATACTGAGCTGGCAGTAGGGAAAATGGAGGCCCAACTAGGCTAGTCCCTATTTCGAAGCAGCAGACTTGGGAACTAGCAGCCTGGGGTGAGGATACGGGGCAGCTTTCTGAGAGTCATTGCACCCTTTTCACCTATCATGAGTTATTTGCAGAGAACAGAGAGAAATGGCCCCAGAGAAAAGCATGCTTCCAAAAAAGCCCAACCTGAGGAAGCCGCTAGAAATCTCAGTTGATGAGCTTTACCCACATGACTGCTCAGGTTTCCAGTCAGTGTTAGGACCATTGGTCTTCATCCAGAGCTGGTAGCCCGAGATTTCCCCAGGTTATCAGAAGACACCAAAACACAAAATGTAGTTTGGATTGAGTAAGTCATGAGTTCAGTCACTTGAGGAAGCAAAACTGACTCAATGACATGGTTAGAGCTTTTAAAACAGCCTTGGGTGGTGGTGCACATCTGTAATCCCAGCACTTGGGAGAGGATTGCTCTGAGTTTAAGGCCAGCCTGGGCTACCTAGTGAGGTCCTGCCTCAAAACTAAATAAACGACTGGTAATAAGTCTATTAGGAGAAAATAAACAGGTGACCTCCGGTTCTGGTCCCCAAAGGAAAGATTGAGTGCACCCCAGGAACTTGAACACAAACTTTTATCCTTCATTTGCAAAGCTGTCATCTTAAGACAAGTGAGAGGCAGTGATAACATGGATAGCTACTCAGTAAGTGGTTGCACACCAGGCTGCCTGTGGCCTCTCAAGGCTGCAGAGTGCTTAACGAAAGTCGAATGGTTTCCCTCCTCGCGCGACAAATCCTGCCGGCCCTCTCCACAGGACCGCCTGCAGAGGAGTCTCAAGTGAACTATTTGATCCAGATGCCACAGTGCTGCTTCTTCCGGCCTCCTCAGGGGCGGGGAGATACTCCCGTGGTTGGTATAGAAACAGCTGGAGGTTTCTGGAAGGGCTGCAGTTTGTTACTAGGTGACAGCGGGACGCGAACATTCCTTGGGGTGCGGAGATAGATACTGGGACTGAATACCCGCAATGATTGGCCAAAGAGATAGCGACGCTAGCCAATAGACACTTGGTCCGCTATGCACATGCGCAGGAATTCAACGAGCCTTTGCTCAGTCGGGGGCGAGTTACGGGATTCGGATGCAAAGAAAGGGTACGTGCCACACAGGGAGGGAACTCCCGAAAATCTGGCACTGCAGATTCCTCAAGAGCAATGGAATGCCTGTCAGTCTTGAAAAACCTCTGAAAATGCGTGCCTACCCTTGCTTGCTGAGGTTTATGGGAAATGTAGTCCAAGGAGCGCCACTGTGCCACAGAGCAGGCATGGGATTGGCCAGGGCGCCGTCGGCAGGGCAACGAGCGGTGGGATGGGCCAGAGTGACGCCACTTCCGGTAAGTGGCCTCCTGGCACTGGCGCTGTGGCTAAGGTGAGCCCGTTCCTAACTAGGCGGGGCGGGTCTGCCCATCGACCCTGCCCGATGTTGCTCCCTTTGGGAGAGAAGGCCTGGCTTCTACAAGCCTTTCCTCCCACTCAGAAGGCCAATCCCTGTGTCCTGTCCAGGGCCACCTCCTACATATCTCCTTCCTCTCCCAGTTTGGGAGCCGGGGCCCCTCCACTTCCTTCTTCAGGGACAAGTTTCCTGCCAGTTAGTCCACTGAGCGAGTGTTTTGTTTGGCTTTCTATGCATGGATCCGGGCTGTACGGAGCATCCCATTCGTTGTAGCCAGGAGCATGGGGTCTCAGTCACATTTGCTCCCGTGAATGCACCTCGGCCTTCAACCCCTGCCTTGCTCCTATCCTACAGCCAGATGTCCTGGACATTGTGAAACAGACCCGCCTCCACTACCGCCCTGCATCACCTTCCCAAATGACCCTTCCTCCAGCGGAGGAGCCACTTTTCTGTCACCTCTCAACAGCCCTCTTGTTCCCAAGGGTCCAACGCAACTGGAATGTTCTTGGATACTTTGCATTCCCCCCCCCCCCCAGGCTTCCACTTGGTCTCAGCTCCTGTAACCTCCTCCTGTGAAGCTTTCCCAGCTTCCTCCGGCCAAGGACCCCTTAGATGATACTCCAATCCCTCCTTTTCTGTAGGTTCCTCTTGGCACCTCCAAGAAGACAGTTCAGAAAAAGAATGCCATCCTCTCTGGGTCCCTCATGCCTGCCCCTTGGGGACCCTGAGACCAACCTCGAGGGACCTGAAGGTGCACGGCTGCGTTTCCGGGGATTCTGCTACAAGGAGGTGGCAGGGCCACGGGAAGCACTGGCCCAGCTCCGAGAGCTGTGCCGGCAGTGGCTACGGCCTGAGTCCTGCTCTAAGGAGGAGATCCTGGAGATGTTGGTGCTGGAGCAGTTCCTGGGCACGCTGCCCCCTGAGATCCAGGCCTGGGTTCGAAGACAACAGCCAGGCTGCCCTGAGGAAGCTGCTGCCCTGGTGGAGGGGCTGCAGCAGGACCCTGGGCAGCTGCTGGGCTGGGTGAGTGTGGAGGCATTAGCTTCCTAGGGGAACAGACTGAAAGGAAAGCTTGTGACATGCCTCTTCTCCTTAGATCATAGCGCACATCCTGAAGCCAGAAGTTCTACCTGCAGCCCAGAAGGCAGAGGAGTCCTCAGGGAGTCTTCTGCCCTCACTGACAGTGGATCCCTGTGGAGCTGCCCCAGGGGAGGGCCCACAAGATGGCAGGATGGAAGGGTCTGCCCAGCTCAGTTGCAGTGTGAAGGAGGAGCCCAGTGTGGATGGGCAGGAGATGGGTGAGGCTAAGGGCCCCTGGAGGGGAGCCCAGGAGAGGTTGTGCCAAGGCAAGGGCCTGAACGCAGCCCAACTGGGTTGGGAACCCTGGAGGGATTACAAAGCTAATTCCAGGGAAGCAGAAGCAAAAGGCTGGCTGCACACCATGTCACACCACAGTGATGGGCTAAGGCCACAGCAGTGACACCAGTGACCCTTCTCCACCTGTTTCATGTGGGTAGCTCCTCACATACCTTCCCTACTGCTTCACTTCTCAGCACCTGTCAGCCCCCTCCTTCTGACCTCATCACCTCAGGGTCATCTGGAACACCAAGAATCAGCCTCCACATCTTTGCAGCCACCCAGGACTCAGGTGAGCTTCCCTGGTTGTGGGGGCATCCCGGTGGCTGTTTCTGTCCTGTGGTTCCCCCAGGCAGTGGATGGTGACTCTTATACTCTGTTCAGAAGAGAAGTACCACAGTTGCCCCCACAAGTCCTGAGAGCAGAGGGATGGCCTACCATCTCCAGTGCTAGAAGGGACTTGTAACCCAGGATGTAGAAACCTGGTTTGTAGGGGCTGGGGATTTAGCTCAGCGGCATAAGGACCTGCCTTGCAAGCAGGCAGTCGTGAGTTCAATCCCCAATACCGATAAAAAAGAAAAAGACAAAAAAAAATGTAGAAACCTGGTTTGTGTGGCTAGAACTGACGAATGTGGCTTCCTCATCACCAGGGAAATCCTGGAGAGGTGTGCGGTTCCCAGAAGTGCTGGACTGCACCTAACATTCGAACTCATTTGTGCAGGCGGTGAGGGGACAGACAAGCCCCAAACCTGAGGTCAAACAGACACTTGCAAGGAAATCCCTGAAGTCCCTTGTATCCTAAGGCTTCTCTTAGAAGGCATTCAGCCAGGCCTAGATGCTTAGGTGAAAGCTGTGCTTCCTTGAACCATGTATTCCCAAGTGTGTGGAGTGGGAGTTTTGTCCTCTCTCAGCTTTTTTGCTTCTGAGCTGCCCCATGAAGAGGCTTCTGCAACAGAACTGCTGGTTGAGAGACACTTCCAGACGGAGAAGACCCTTGGGTGCCCTGCACAGTGGGCCAATCAGAAACAGGAGCCAGTGGGACGGCTGTATCCTCTAGGAATCTTCCTGAAGCCTGTCCAGCCTTTAGCTATGGCACCTATGGCTACTATCTCCCTGCCCCAGCTTTGCCTCATCCTTTAAATTCCTTTTCCCAACTCAGGGAAGCCTCACGTGGCATACCTTGGGCCAGGGAGGAGGGCAGATCTTGTGGGCAGGAGGTATACTCCTGGTAAAGCCATTGGGATCCCTCCTGCATACCAAGCTCACCCTTTCTTGGAGCCCCACTAGCACCCCAAACTTCCTACAGTACCAACCACCTACTCACAGATCCCAAGGTGTCCCACTGCACCTCTTAACCTATGCCTAGGTCCTCCCAACATCAGGTCCTGTGTCCAGAAACAAGGCAGACCCACTGCAAGTCAGGAGCTAGGCAGAAAACAGCCAAGCCCCCAAGGCCTCTCACTGGCCCTCCTATTCAAGGCATGGTGACAGGAGTGTCACCTCTTCCCAGCCATGACAGTGGTCTCCCTGCAGGAGCAGTGGGCCTTGCTGGACCCGTCACAGAAGGAGCTCTACTGGGATGCAATGCTTCGGAAGTATGGCTCTGTGGTGTCCCTGGGTGAGGACTGCTTGCCCTGCGTCCCTGTGCCCCCCCATACCCCCAAGCAGTATATGCCTGCCTGACACCCCCATCTGCAGGGCTACCTGACCAGGAACGGAAACCTGACCAGGAGCCGAGCCCACACCCTGCCCACCAGGACCCGGTGGTGCCACGCAAGCCCTACATGTGTGCTCAGTGTGGCTGCAGCTTTGACTGGAAGTCAGTCTTTGTGATGCACAGGCGCTTGCACACACGTGCCCAAGAGCCTGTGCCACTGCCCTGTGTGTCCCAAAGCACCCCACGCCACACACTGGGCCATGCCTGCCAGGATTGTGGCCGCAGCTTCAGCTGGAAGTCACAGCTGGTCATCCATCGCAAGGCCCACACGGGCCAGCGGCGTCATGCCTGCAGAGACTGTGGCCGTGCCTTTGACTGGAAGTCGCAGCTGGTCATCCACAGCAAGGGCCACCGGCCTGAGGCTCCATGAATAGGAGCCACCCAGGAATGGAGGTCAGGTCTGCTGCTGACAGGGACTGTATGACCGCAGTGGCCACCCAGGCCATGCTCCCCATACCAGGTCCAGTGCACACGGGGTGCAGTACATGCGGATTGCACTGTCTACTCCAGGACCTCTTGCTGGTGATGGGGGCTCAGCAACTGTCCTGTGCCCCTCCCTGAAGCAGCTTGGTCCCAAGTCTGATGTGGAAAGTGGCAAGAGACCAGGAAAGCACAGATAGCTTCTATTCTGAATTTGTCCTTGTCACCTGGCCTTTCCTGGTTCCTGGTGACCAGAGGAGAATTTTCCTGTACCACCTCACAAATGGAAAGAGACCATGCTCAAGTCAGGAAGTGATTTCAAAGTGAAAGGTAGCACAAGGTTAGCAGACAGGCCAGGATACCACCAGCCTGTGAGCAACCTTTGTTGCTTTGTTTTGGTTTATTTTACCAAACTTACTGTGTTAGGGTGTTCCACACTCTACTCCTGCCTATTTATGATTTACCCTTGCCCTACTTTTAATTTTGAATTCATGTGTTTTCCTTTCATTCATCAATAATTACTAAGGCGTGGTGTATGAAGCCTTAAACTTATAACGAGGATAGGTCAACTTAAAGACACCTGGGTCAACTACTGTGGCTGCTCTGCTGGGTGGAGACTCCTTAGCTTTCCTAACTGATTAGTCTGTGGTCCCCTCTCCATTTAGTCGGGTTGAGGCCCGATCACACTTTGGCCCACTTCCCATTATCAAAATAGCTGGCAGAGTTCCAGCACCTGCAGAAAGAACTGCCTATACCAAGCCAACAGTTCTAGAGCCTCCCCTCTCTTGTCTAACTATCTTCCTGTATTCCTCCATTAAACACTGACTTCCAAGTGTATAATTTGTGTTTGGAATGGGCTCAGGGGTATGAACTCAGAGCCTCGTGCATGCTAGGCAATCACTGAACTATAACCTAGCTCCTTAAAAAAATTTTTTTTGAGGCAGGATTTGTCTCACTAGGTTGCCTAAGCTAGCCTTGATCTTAGGATCTGCCTTCCTCCGTCTGCCTAGTAGTTAGCATTACAGGTTAGATTTCTAACATAAATTATACTTTGAAAATGGGAAAGTGTCTGAATAAGAACTCTGATTTCTGACTTCTGCTGGCCAGAAAATCAGTAGTGTATTTTCCTTGCCTGGCAGCTTAAGAGACATGGGGCAGCTGTCCAACCCCAAGGGGCCAGTCCAGAGGACAGCAGGTGACAGCAGATGTGCTATCTGTCTCTGGCCCCCCAGCCCACCTTGTTGCTTGGTCATCCATATTGCTCACCAGCCTTTGAGCTCTTGAGGTTTGGCTCATGTGGGCAAGTAGGGGGACTTCCTTTCTAAGCATGGGTGGACACACACAGCAAGGCACAACCACAGTGGCCTGTGGTGATGCAGCAAAAGAACAAAGGTTCAGTTCCCTGCTGACCGCAAGGTCTGTTGGTTCTCTGAAGAGTCATTCAGGTCTTACATAGTGTTCACTTGTTAGTAGCTGCTCTAACACACTAGGTAGAATGAAACAGATTTAATCTCTTATAGCTCAAAATAAAAATATAAAGGGGTGAGGATACAGTGGAGTGATAGGGCACTTGCCTGCTTATGTAAGGCCCTGGGCTCAATCTCTAAGATCCTCCCTCCCCAGTCGGCAACATAAACCACAAGATAGAAAATATTTTAAAGTCCCAAATAAATAACGACTAAAATGTAAAAGTGGAGAAAGTCTGTGAAGCAGAAATTCACTTCAAAAAAAAAACCCTTATTATGCTGATAAATAAAACCTTCATGCTCTGAAGCAATCACTGACAGTGTGAGAGAATAGCTCCTTCTCCCTGGTCCATCACATACCTAGTGCGTGACATTGGTATTCACAACACAGTCGACAAATGAATAAGCTACAAATCAAACTTATATGATGGGGCTGGGAATGTGTTTCAGTGATAGAGCACTTGCCTAGTGTGTGTGAAGCCCCAGGTTCAATACATGTGTACTTGTGCACACCAAAATAAATTTTAAAAGTTTAAAAGGCGGAGAATGTAGTTCAGTATGAGGCCCAGGGTTCAGTCAGTGTGCAGGGAGAGGAGTGAATTACCTAAACTGGCTGGGACTCTGGGAACTGTGGGTGCCTGGAGGATCAGCAGACTGAGAACTGGACCACTCAGGAAGCCATGGTTCTGCTGGGCTTGGGCCCCACACTTGCTTTCATTGGCCACGCAGGGCAGAGGACATCAGGTGACAGCAGCCAAAATGCTGCTTTAACGACATGGCATGCTTGGAGCAGGGCCGTGCTGCAGTCGGCTCCCTGCACACCTGTGCTGACACAGTGTGGTGCCTGGGGCAAGGCTGCAAGCCACTTATGGTCCCAGAGGCTCTGCATCTGTCTACACACTCTCATCCCCTTCCCCAGAACGCTCCCTAAGGTACCCCCTGCTTCTGAGAGTGCAGAGTCTGTATCCCAGAGGTCTTGGCACCTACAAACCCGCTGCAGTATCTACAGTGCCCCAGGAGGTGCTGCCTGCTCTAGAGACTGATGAGACTTCAGGCCCCAGAGGTTTCTGGCCCCAGGGCTTCTTTACTACAGCACTTATCACAGGGCCTGTTTAGTCGGCTAGGGACATTCCTCTTCCTTCCTGTTCACACTTCCAGCTTTAGCCGTGTCTTCCAGTCTTTGTTAGACCCAAGCCCAGGAGTCTCAGCAGCCAAACAAGACCAGGAAATGGAAATAGTGGTTTTTGTTGTTTTCTGAGACAGGACCTCACCCTGGCCTCCAGCTCCTGGCGGTCCTCCTGCCTCAGCCGTAGTAGTGCTCTTTCCTTTCATTCCTGCCACACACTCGGCCTCACCCACAGGGGACCGTTCCCCTGGACATGTGATGTCCCTGCCGGGAAACCTCGCACGCCTCTATCATGTATTCATCCACACACAGACCTCTGTGTACACATTTGAGTTTTTATTCTTGCTCTGCTGCCAGGGCCAGTGCTGTCATCGGCCTGTGCATCTGGAATTCTGACAGCTCTGTGCAAGAAGGGAGTCAGTGCTGGTCCCTGCCCCTTCAGATGTCCTCTCGGCAGGCCAGGGGGTCAGAGCTTCCAGGTTCCCTCACATACAGCCTGATACGTGTCTGTTGTCAGGGGCTGGAAGGCCTGGGCCCGGCGGTCCAGTATGAACAGGGGGTCAGTGATGATCCCCACATCAAAGCCCTCTCGCACCAAGTGGGATTTGACCTGTTTGAATGTGCCTGTGATCTCCAGAGTGTCCTGCAGAGTGATGATCGTTAGCTTAGGTTTGATACCCCAGCCAGGAACCCCTACCCTGCTGCTCTCCCTGCCCAGGCTCACCTGAACACGGATGAAATGGGGGGCAGCATAAGTTGGGAGCCATTTGTGCACATGCTGGTACAGTTTCTGCCCATCAAAGGTCTGGCCAGGGGCCAGCCTCACAGCAGCCATGCCCACTTTGCCCTCGCAACCTGCGAAGCACACTGATCACTCAGCTGCCCCACCTGCCTGGCACTCCCCTGCTTACTGGTTGTGCAGCTAAGCAACCTCTAACCCTCTCTTGTTCCCTGGAAATTCCCCCATCTGTAAAATCAGAATAATTCCCCTGCATCCAAAGTTATGAGACTGGTTTGGTTTGGTTTGGTTTGGTTTTGTCAGTACTGGTGTTAAACCAGGACCTTCACACTTGGCTACATCCCCCACACTTGTATTCTGAGGCAGGGTCTCACTTAGTTGCAAAATTGCCCAAATTGGGCCAGAACCGGCAATTCTCCTGTCTCAACCTCCCAGTGGGGTTCCGGGCATGTGCCACCACATTCAACTCCATCCAAGATTTAAGGTCAAGTGGTCCCTTCATACCTGGAACTGACACACCGTAGACATTCACTTCCTGCAGGAAGTCCACCAGTGACAACACACCCTCCACCTCCCGTGTGGACACATTCTCACCTTTCCATCTGCAGGGTTTGAGAGAGGGTTTGAACTCCACCTCATACGAGGATCCAGGTGCCCGTTATCCACATCAGCCCAACATATCCCAAGGCCTATCCCCACCAGACCGGAAGGTGTCCCCAATGCGGTCATGGAAGTAGAAAAAGCCTTCACGGTCCACAGACAAGATATCCCCAGTGTTGTAGTAAATGTCGCCTGGATGTTGTACATCCCGCACCAGTTTTCGTTCAGACAGCTCTCGGGAACCATGGTAGCCAACGAAAGGGAGGTGGCTTAGTACCTTGGTCAACAGGAGCCCTGGTTTCCCTGGAGAAGGAGGAGAAGAGTATAATTCATGAACAGGAGCCCCAACAGCCTGCCGACCCCTGCTGGAAGTTTCCAAGAACTTTGCCAAGCTCCATGAAGACAGATTCTGAAACACCAGGACAGAGAGAGCCTGAGAGACAGCATAAGGGAGACACAGAAAATTGGGGACACAAAGAAGAAAGTGGCATTAGGTAGCCCATGAGAAACAGAAAATGGATACCAAGGAATGGACAAGGGATAGAGGACAAGGGGTAGAAAGAAACGGTGGTAGGAAGAAAGACATGACAGGAGAGAAGGGACCTAAGCCTAACAAGATGTGATCCCTGCACACAGAAAGCCAGGGACAACTGAGACGGACCCTGGAGACCTGAAGACCAAAGCAAGGGACTGTGGCAGAGAAGCTGGCAAGGCTAAAAAGCTAGGAAGTGAAGGCCTAGGAGGTGGCTGTCAGCCAGGCAGGGACTCAGAGTCCCAAGGAGAGCTGCAGACACCCTCGTGGGCTCTGGACTTCAGGATTTGAGCAGCTTGTTCCAGCCATGCAGAGGGCTGACCGTACTCACCCCTCCTCCACCCAAAGAAAGCTCCCTGGTCCCATACCAGGCTCCACCGGGATACACAAGCCCCGCTCGTCTCTCATGGGCTCTGCTGCCTCCATGTCAAACTGCACAATCTCAAAAGGGGCCAGCATCTGCAGGAGGGTGGGAGCACTGGCAGAGAACGTATAGGTACAGACACAGCCAAGGTCACTGTTGCTGGGCACCCCACCCACTCACCCGAAGAAAGCAGCTTGTCTTGCCCACGGCCCCACAGTGCCCTGGATAGTTGACGAAGCCTGTGTTGCCCTCTGTAGCACCATAGAATTCCCAGATCCGAATAGGACCAAAGCGCTTCTGGAAGGTTTCCCATACATCTTTTCGGAGTCCATTGCCCATTGCCAAGCGGACTTTGTGTGCTCGGTCTTCAGGTTGCTGCAAGAACATCCAAGAAGGAGAAGAGGAGGTGCCCTTGGGAATGCTGAGCCCCTCACCTGGGGGCTTTTTAGATCCTTGAGATTGACACATGGGGTGATGGGGGACCATACCTAGCAGATCTACCTGGGTTACTTAGATACAGTTGCTGAAGTCTTGACCTGGAGGGTTACTTCAGAGGTTGAGAAGTTTGCCTGGGGAAAATTATCTGGGGCTTTAACTGAAGGGTTGCCTAGGAGAGCTGATGCATCAGGGCTCTTACCTGGGAGAACTATGTGGGGCCCCACATTGGGGACTTACCTGGAAGCCTTGCCTAAAAGAGCAAATGAAGGCCTTTACCTGGAGGTCACAGGGAAGTAACTTGAAGCCTCAGCTTGAGGATTACCTCAGGGCCTTACTTAGGGCGAGTTCCATGGAGCCTTCTCCTTTGGGATTACCTTGAACCCTAATCTGGAGGGCTACTTGAGGATCTTATCCAGGGATCCTATATCATCGTTTTGTAAGGATCAGATGGCTCACTACCCTGAGCCACATCCCATTCTAATTTTCACAAAAAAGAGAGCCTTTTTTTGTACTGGGGATTAAACCAAGGGCTTTCACACTGAGCTATTCATTTCTATTTTGAGGCACAGTCTCACCAAGTTGCTAAATTGCCCAGGCTGGGCTCAAACTTGCAATCCTGCCTCAAAGTGCTGGGGTGACAGGTGTGCACTACCATGCCAGGCCAGGTAGGAGCTACCATTATCAAATGAGAATCCTGAGGCTAAGAAAGGTAAGATCACGTGCTGAGGGTAGCAAGTCTCCTTAAAAGCAGTCCTTTAGGAGAACTTGCCTGGAACTTATTATCTTGGGCTCTTGCTCAAGTCTCCCACAGGCTAAGTACTAATCATGCCCACACTAATCATGAACCACACCCCAGTAGTCCCCAAGGTGTTACTTGAACCTTTATATAAGAATTTGACATGGGGTTTCATCTGGGGTTCATACCTGTGGTGTTTACCATGAAGTCCTAATTTCAGAGCCTCACCTGGGGAGCATTGCACAAGTACCGCAGAACTTCGCCCACATACTGGATCACTGTCACACCGTGCTGCCGACAATCATCCCAGAAGCGTGAGGCAGAAAACTTGGGTGTCAGGACACAGGTGGCTCCTGGGAGGGAAAGGAGGAGTAGATCTCAAGCTATGCTTCCAAGTTGCTGTGAGAAGCTGCTGATTACAAAAAGACAAAAAAATAAAATAAAACATGAAAACAAAAACCCAAAAGCTGGGGGTTTTGCTCAGTGGTGTAAGTGCCTGCTTGGCAAACAGAAGGTCATGAGTTCAATCCCTGGCACAAAAAAAAAAAAAAAAAAAGGAATTCAGCTCAGTGGCACAAATGCCTGCCTGGTAAGTGTGAGATTGAGAGTTCCATCCCTGGCACAAAAAAAAAAAAAAAAACCCAAACCAACAAAAACTATTTCTAGAGGGTTTGAAAAGCCCAATTAGAAAAAAAAAAGGATGTGTTTTTAATTTGTTTTTCTTTTGTCTTTGAGACAGTGTCTTGCTATGCAGTTCAGGCTGGCCTTGAGCTCACAAGTCTGGTCTTGAACTTGCAGTGATTCTCCTGTCTCAGCCTCCCAAATGCAGAGATTATAGGTGTGTGCCACCAGGCCCAGCTCATGTTTGTTACTGCTGAATTTTCTGAGTGCCCTGGGAGGCAGACAAATGGAGAGGAGGGTGACTATTATGGGTGGGTGGAAAGGACAGTTAGTGGATGGAGAGTGGGCGCATAGGGGTATGGAGAAATGGCCAGTGATGAGGTCGACCGGAGATGCAGAGGAGGACTGTGGAAGGGTTAGGAAAATACGTACAGTGTTGACGAATGTACTCATAGGTGAACTGAGATCTTGGAGCCACTATCATATCATCACTCCTGAGAAGTGGTCCCACTCTCCCAACTCCTTCTCTGCATCGGGCTCATCATTCCTGCACCCAAACTACAACTGTTGACATGCTTTGTGAGGTGACAAGTGTTTGTTTTAAAATATTTCTGGCACCAAGGGTGATGATGCACACCTGTGATTCCAGCACTCTGGAGGCTGAGGCAAGATCATTATGAGTTCAAACCCACCTGGGCTACAAAGCGAGTTCAAGACCAACCTGAATTGCATAGTAAAACCCTGTCTCAAAAAGTTTTGTCATTTTTTTTTAATGGGTACTGGGGATTGAACTCATGACCACCTGCTTGCAAGGCAGGTGCTTATGCCATTGAGCTAAATCCTCAGCCCCTAAAAAGTTTTAAAAAATCATTTCAGACAAAGAGGTAGCATAATGCCTTCTATGAAATGAATCCTAAGTCCTTGAAATTGATGACTGTTTTCAAATTCTTAATGAAAGATCTACTTCGTGAAAGATCATCAACAACTATTAAAAGAAAGGACAGACTTGTTGGGGAGTTTTCCCAGTGCATCTCCACCTAAGGTTAAGATAACCAACACAAGCTGCCTCAGTGTGACAAATTAGGAAGCAGAAGCATCTCATCAAGATTCTTTTTTTTTTTTTTTTTTTTAAATTTTTTTTTGGTCTTTTTCGTTTTTATCGGTACCAGGGATCGAACTCACGACTACCTGCTTGCAAGGCAGGCGCTTATGCCGCTGAGCTAAATCCCCAGCCCCTCTCATCAAGATTCTTATAGAGAATAATAGAAACTAGGGTTGGAAGCATAGTTCACTGGGAGAGCATTTGCCTAGCATGAGCACGGACTTGCATTCAACCCCTACCACCAGGAAAAAGAAAAAAGAATGAAAAGAACTGAATATAAAAAAAAGCTTCTCGAAGGCATTTCAAATCTAACAGCAAATGTAGGAAAACAGAGGAGCAGAAATCTCACGAGTAAATAAAATGTGTGTATTGTTTCAAATATAAGAAGGTAAGGGGCTGGGGATTTAGCTCAGCAGCATAAGTGCCTCTTTTGCAAGCAAGTGGTCGTAAGTTCGATCTCTGGTACTGATTAAAAAAAAAAAGCAAAAACACCAAATATAAACAGGTAATCAGGATCAGGCACAGTGGAACACATCTGTAATTTTAACCCTGGGCTGAAGCAAAAGGATCAAATATTCAAGTCCCACATGGGCAATTTTGTGACTTAGCCAGACCTTGTCTCAAAATATAAAATTTAAAAAGAGCTGCAGATATAGGCCTTGGATTCAGTCCCTGGTAGTGAAAAAGAAAGGAAAGAAAGAAATAAGTCAGAGAAAGAAGGAAGGAAGGAACATAGAAAGACAGACAGACAGACAGATATGTCTTGCTATATTCTTCAGTCTGGTCCAAAACTGCCAGCTATCCAGGGTAGGAGCCACTGCAAGCCTGCACCACTAGGCCAGCTTTTCATGGAAAATTTCAAACAAAGTACTAGTTTACTGGTGTTTTGTGTACCTTTATGTAGCTTCAAAAATTGTTAATATCTTGCCAGTTTTATTTCATGTGTGCTCACTTTCTGGAATTTTTCTTTGAGACAGAGGGACAGGGTCCCACTATGTAGTATGTCAGGCTGGTCTTAAACTCACTATGCAGCCCAACTTGACTGTGAACTTGAAAAATCCTCCTGTCAAAGAAAAAAGACAACAAACAAACAAACAAACAAAAAAACCAAACTAGGGGCTAGAGATTTAGCTCAGCAGCATAAGTGCCTGCCCTACAAGGGCAGTCGTGAATTCAATCCCCGGTACCGATAAAAAGGAAAAAGACAAAAAAAAAAAAAAAAGGAAAGAAAGAAAGAAAGAAAGAAAAATCCTCCTGTTTCAGCTATCCAAGTGCTGGGATTACAGGTGTCCACCATCACATATATTTTTAATTTTTGAGACAGGGTCTCCCTAAATTGCTAAATTGCCCAGGTTGAGGTCAGACTTGTGATGGGGTTACAGGCATGCCCCAACATGCTCAGTGTACAATCTTAAAAACTAGTCACAGGTGATGATTATACCTAATAAAATTAATAGTAATATTTGAATATAGCAAGACACTGTACATTTCCACATTCATTTACATGACAAAACATATTTTACATATGACATATAAAATGGCAAGTGGGAGCTGAAGCAAAAGGATCAAATATTCAAGTCCCACCTGGGCAATTTTGTGACTTAGCCAGACCTTGTCTCAAAATATAAAATTTAAAAAGAGCTGTAGCAAGAGGACCACCTAGACAACTCTCCTTGAATAAAGACTAATTACTACTGCTTGGGCTAAACCTAGCCCTGTCTCCTGTACTGATATGTAGAGCTGGCTAAGCTATTTCCTTTCACCTTCAATTGTCTATAAGTGATGTAAATAGGGGTAGCTGGGGTGCTGATGCAGAATCTTATATCTATCTATCTATCTATCTATCTATCTATCTATCTATCTATCTATTGTTGTACTCGTGTTTCCCAGGCAGGAGCTGTGTTGCTGGGCTCTTGCTCTCTGCTATGAAATCTTTAAGCTTGGTGACAGACTGGGAATTTAGCTCAGTGGCGTAAGCGCTTGACTGGCAAGCACAAGGTCATGAATTCAATCCCCAGCACCAAAACAAAACAAAACAGCTAAGTGACAGTCTCTGTTTCCCCTCATCAGTATCTTCCTAAACATGACTGAGCTGGGTGGGATGGCAGAGCCACTACTCCAAGACTGTCACTGTAGGGATGTCAAACGAGCATGACCCTCGAAATAAGAAGCTATGACTTCCCAAGGCAGAAAAAGTTTACACACCAGAGCTGAGGCCCCTCTGCCTAAACATTAAATGCTACCACAATTGCATTATGCAGATTAGTCTTTCTGCATATCCTTCTCTCTGCATATTGCACAGATGCACTCAGGCCTCCTATGTAGCCCAGCTTACAGCACTCACGGATCCCCCACCATTCTCACAGTCACTCATCCTCAACCCACTCCCTTCTTCATGAATTAATGAAATCTGGTTCAGGCCCTGGGTCAAGGCCTTTGTTCCAATAAACCTTCATCCTGACTGAACTCAGGACCCCTTGACTCCCTCCATAGTTATAAATATGCCTTAGTGTGTTTATTCTCACTGTGGAAGTGGTAGATTGCACTGGAAATGGTAGATTAGAGTTAACTGGCTAGAATTCCAATAATTTTGCTATGGGATTACAAACATAAACTTCATGGACTCTGCTAAGGATGAGAAAGGGATCTCTATAGAAGCTGTGGTGGCTCACAGCTGTAATCCTAGCACTCAGGAGAGTGAAGCAGGAGGATCTCTGTGAATGTGAGGCCAGTCAAGACTATATAGTGAATTCAATAGCAGCCTGAACTACATAGTGAGAAAGAAAAGGAAGAGAGATTTAGCTCAGCGGGTCAAGCACTTGCCTGGTAAGTGCAATGTAATGAGTTTGATCCCCAGTACCAAAAAGAGGGGGTGAGTGGGTGATGGGGGGTGGGGTGGGTGGGTGATGGGATATAGCTCAGTGGCACAGCACCTGCCTAGCAAAACCGAGGTCATGAGTTTGATCCCTGGTGAAAAAAAAAATAAAAAGGCAAATGGGAATGGTAGAGGTAGAGTAATAAAGTAAATCCAGTACAATGCTAATGTTGGCTGAAGCTGGGTAGTAGATACATAAGGATTCATATAGAATTCTTTTTTCAGTATTAAGACTCGAACTCAGGGCTTTTACCCTGAGCTATATGTCCAGTCCTTTTTGTTTTTTATTTTGAGGGCCACAGCCATAGCTTAGTGGCATGGCCCCTGCCTGGTAAGCATGAGGTTTTGATTTTGATTCCTAGCACAAAAAGAACTTTAGTTTTTATTCTGAGACAGGGTCTCAATAAATTGCCAAATTGTTTGAGCTGGGTTCAAATTTGCAACATCCTGCCTCAGTCTCCCTGAATGCTGGGATTATAGGTATGTACCACCATGTCCAGCATCATGTACAATTTTTTTCTTCTTTTTCATTTTTGGAATTTTTGTTTTTGCTTTTTCACATAGAAAATTTAAAAATGTACATGTTTCAACTTTTCATGATGAAAATTTGAAAATAAACCAGGTGTGGTGGCACACATCTGTAATCCCAGAACTCAGGAGGCTGAGGTAGAAGGATCACCAGGAGTTCAAGGTCAGTTTGGGCTACAAGGCCAGCCAGAACCATATAGTGAAATCCCACCTTAGGAAAAAAGACAAGAGGCCGGGAATTTAGCTTAGTGGGGTAAGTGCCTGCCTAGCAAGCGCGAGGTCATGAGTTCGATCCCTGGTACCAAAAAAAAAAAAAAAAAAAAAGACAAGAAAAATATTGAAAATAAGACTAAATGAGCTAGTCATGGAACATAACTATAATCTCAGCACTCTGAGAGGCTGGGGTAAGAACATCATGAGTTCAAGACTAGCCTGAGCAACTCAGTGACTTAGAAGACCTGTCTCAAAACAAAACAAAAAAAAATTCAAAAGGGCTGGGGATGTGGCTCAGAGCAAAGGCCCTGGCTTCAGTGCTCAGTAAAACAGGGACAAAAGCCAACAAATGATCAGGTATGGCAGTACAAATGTGTAATCCTGGCAATGAAGGAGGCTGAAGCTTGAGAGTCACAAGTTTGAGTTCCACAGGGCAACTTAGAAGACACTATCTCCAAGTTAAAAATATGAAGGGCTGAGGACATGGTTGCATGGTAGTGAGTCCCTGAGTTCAAATCCTTCTATTGTACATACATACATATACAATCTTTTAAAAAGAGAGAAAAGAATAAAAACATGTAACAGTACAGCCCTTGTCTGAATTATCAGTTAGGTGTCCAAGAGGACAGCCCAGGGAGTACTTGGTGACTTTCCCCTCTCTAGCTTCTGGGCCTCGGTCACAGCCCTGGACCAGCATTCCCATCCCCTGAAGTGCACACTAGTATCCTGGTGCCCAGGCCAAGCTCTCACATTGGTTCTTATCATTACTTGACAAAAGCACAGCCATGAGTGGCTGTTTAGGAATTGAAGGCTTGGGCCAGGTGGGGATGTGTGTGTGACCCTTATCAAAGTGACACCACAGAAAGCTTGCCGACCTATGGGTCTTTTTTTTTGTTCTGGGAATTGAACTCAAACCTCACACTTGCCAGGCAGGTGCTGTGCCCCTGAGCCATATCGTTGGCTCATCTGTGGTGTCTTGTCACCTTAACTTCCCTCATGCCCTGCTCTGGGATCCTGTGGGCTAAAGGGATTTTCTGAAAAGGGCTTACCAAGCTCCAGGCAGCCGATGACCCCCAGGACCAGCCCCATGGTGTGGTAGAGAGGCAGGACATTGTAGACCACATCATCAGCTGTCACCCCACACATGAACAGCATCTTGCTCACCTGTAGCACTCTCTCCTGTGTAAGGATGGCTGGCTTTGGGAGCCCTGGAGGAAGCAGTGGGAAGGGGTGTCAAAGGGAAGCAGCCAGCCTCACCAGGCTTGGCTCTCAAACAGTGGGTTTCGAGGCCGGATTGCAAAAGGCAGTAAGGGATCAAGAGCAAAGGTTATCGAGATGTCAGTGCTGTTTACTAGACAGAAGCAGGATACCCTGAGTACCTGCATGAAACTAGGCTTTGAAGTCAAGGCCGAACATCGAGTGGGGAGGGCAGGGCTATGGTGGAGGGCAATAGAGGTGAGCTGGGGTGAGGGGATCCTCACCTGTGGTTCCTGAGGTGTAGATAAACAGTGCAGGACTTCGACTCGTGATCTTAGTACGTAGGTGAGCAGGCACTGGGTCAGAGGGTGCAGCATCCAGGGCAGCCCCCAATGACCCCACACCAGGTGTGGTGGAGGCATGACTGAGGTAGAAGCAGTAGATGTGTGCAGCCTGCAGCTTGGGAAGGACCTCCTCTAGGCTGTCCTTGAGGTCTAGAAGGTCAGGGGAGAGACTGAGGTAGAGCTCATTTGCGTGGTCAACAGGAAAAACCCAAGACCCAGAGACACAGGAAGAAATAGCAGTTTCATCATTCTTGAGTAAAGAATCCCATAATTAGTAAAGTTTTGTCAAGAAGAAATCAAATCATTATTTCTGGAAAAAATTAAAACCAGTGACTCCCTGAGTAACTTCTAGGTTGCACTGTTTTGATTGTAACTACCTGTAATATGGGCGGACAGCAGCAAAGGGATCACTTCTCAGCTCCACAGGCATTACCCCTGCCCCTCCCCTCTTCGTGTGGCCCTACAGTCCTTACCTGGGTCTACCACCAGCACCCGGGCCCCCGAGCTGAGCACAGAGTGTGCCAGGGGTGCCCCGCGGCTGTGCGGGTTGATCCAGGCCACCGGGCAGCCCAGCTTGGTCAGCCCCAGCCACAGACTCACAGCAGAAATGACCTTCCAGGCTCCTACCAGGAGAGCAACAGGTTCTCCTGCACGCAGGCCCTCCATGTTGCCCAGCTCAGCCTTCAGGGCCCATGCTGCCTGGCAGGCTCGGGCATCCAGCTCACCAGTGGTGACCTTACAGGCTCCAGGCCCAGTCCACACCAAGCATACCCGGCCAGGCTGCTCTCGTGCCCTCCGCTCAAAGGCATCCACAAAGGTGTCTAGAGGCTGTCTGCTCAGGCGTTTCCTGATGCTCAAGGCCAGATAAAAGGCCTTGGCTATGAAGACCACATCTGCAGGCAGCCAGCGCAGCCATGGGGGTAGCTGTGCGGGAAGCAGGGTCAGAGGAAGGACTGCAGCCACCAGGCCCGGCAAGTGAGGCTGCCAGGGGCTGATCCAGAGCCAGGCCAGTGTCACCAGGCCCAGTAGCAGGAAGCACAGGCGGTCTCCGAGGAACCAGCGCAGGACCACTGCCACAGCAGCCGGCCATACAGGGTACCCCAGGATTCCCACCAGGAGCACCAACAATAGGAGCATGGTCAGCCACTGCCAGACACCCATGGTACTGCCAATCTCGTCAGGCAAGAGTCAGTGGAATACACAGTCTTACTTCTGATGGCGAGCCCCCTAGCCCCAACTGCCTGCCCACAGAGCAGCTGATGGACTCTACCCACTGAAGGCCCTGGCACTGACATTAGTAGTTGCCCCGTGTCCCTGGACTATGCCCTCAGTCCTCTCTTCCTGTGCAGCTTCAGCTGCTATGCCCATTCACCAGCTCTGCCTCCCTCCTCTTTACTGACTTTGGGCTCCAGGTCAGCCATCTCCCAGCTTGAGTCATCACCAGCCTTGTTACCCTGCTTACCCAGGCCTCCTCCAAGGCTGGCACCTGCCTCCTTCCCATGACATCTCCGCATGAGAAACTCCTGCCCTAGGACATGTTATAGCAGCAATAGCCAGCACACATTCCAGCAACAGCAGCATGCTCTGTTACCTTGCTGGAAGACTGGTAGTGGCACCTCTGTTCTGGTGATGCTCTGGCCACAGCAACTATTCAGAGAATATGGGAGTACTCACACTTGAAGTCGTACCCAACTCTGCTCATGAGCTTTGTGGATACTCACTCACCTGGTGTTCACAAGGACTGAATTTTGGAGTGCAGAGGGCTGAAATCTGCCTGTGATATGCGTGGCGGGACAAGGAGCCCCAGCCCCTGGTCTCTCAGAAGTGTACAGAGCTGCTACAGGGCAGGAGCCCAGCAGGCAGGCTGGGTGTGGCCATATTGGGTGCAGCTCCACACTGGTCCCATTGCGCAGGGCTGGGGGAGTAGAGCACTGGGACACTGTGTGCCCAGGGTGCCCATAATGGCTGGACTCAGACTTTTGTCTAAGCCTTCCAATTGCTAGTGAGGCGGCATAAGTCATGTAGTCCACACATCTGCAGTGAATATGTAAACTATGTAGTCTGTGCTAACTTCTCCTTGCCAGCTTTGTCTGATACTGTATAGCAAAGGCATGTCAGACATTCTAGTGGTTACATATCTTTTCTTCCAGTTATTCAAATCTCAAGTGACCCTTATTGGTGGGAGAATAACTGGAGCGGTGCCAGCCAGGTATGGAACCTTCTGGTCTGCTGGGTGGGAGTGTGGAGTGGTGAGCCACAGAATGTGGTACTTGGTGATAGCCTCTTCTCAACATGGGCCTCTTCTCAGGCATGGACAGAGGCAAATGGAGCAACCATTTCAAAAGAGAAAGCCTGCGTGCCATGGGGGAGAAGAGTAACCATAGCACTTCTAGAGCAGCCTGTCTTTAAGGCTAAGTCAGAAGCTCATTCAGATGAGACCCTGCATCACTGAGTTACAAGATGAGCTAAGAGCTTACCATAAATGCTGTCTAGGAGTTCAGGCTGGTGACTTCACAGGCAGAAATAATTCAGCCACTAAAGATACCTACCCAGTTCCAGGCAGAAAGGCCCATCCAGTAGTGATGATGAAAATGCAGAAGCAGTTCATGCAATCAACAGGGGTTGGGTCCTGCCAAAAAGACTGGGTTCTCCATGTACGGCCCCTACTCACAGGGTGAATTGGTAGATTTGCAAAATAGATAATGTCAGAAGAATCTCTGGCTGCTTGGTTACTGAGACTGTGGGATTTGGGGGTGGATGGTATCATGTGTATTGGGCTAGACAGGAGACAGAGATGTTAGCCTTGATCATTAACCACCCTGCCCCTAGACAGCAGCTACAGAACAGCTGCTGGTATGGACAAGAGACTCACTCCATGGCTGATTGGCTTATGTGGGGGGACGTGTTCAAGATGCCAAGCAAAACTTAACCTTTTACAGATCTTGCAGGAGTTGGGTATGCACCAGGCAATGTTTAATCTTAACACCAAGGGCCTAATGATAAACAGTTCATCGCAGGCATGAGGCATGTGCTCGTCCAGAAAGGCCCTCTCCTTCCTTTGGGTCACTCATGACCAGCTTGGTACCACTATGAGACACTGGATTAAGAAGTGACCACAATGGTGGCCAGCGTAGGGGATGTGAAGACTAGGAGGCAGGGCCATAATGTCCTTACTACATCATGGACAGCCCCAGACAAAGTAGGGGAACAGGAGATCAAGAAAATGTATAAAGGTAACTCATTCTCAGGTGTGGGCAGACCTCTTGACAGCAGGAGATAGTCAGGCCAAGATTGACAAAAAACCTACCTGTTGGAGTTATAGGAGTCTTGAAGATTCACCCTGCAGCCACGGCTAGGACCATTAAATTGGAAGATCAGCTCATTTCTGGCTGTCTTGATGCTCTGCTCACCTTTGAATAAGGCCAAGGTCAAGGTGTTCACATGATGGGGACAAATGGGGATCAGAAGTCTTCCATGGAACTAGCAACTACCTGGTCACTGACCAATATCTAGTGGGTTCCAGCTCTATGAGACACTGGGGTTACAGGTATCCTATTGTTTGAGAATCTGTTGTTTGGGGCCCTGTGTTATTTACAGATGGCTATGGGCCTTTGTGCTTTTGTGGAGAGTGTACTTAGGATTCGATTTATGACCTCATGCTTACCAGGCAGGTGCTATGTCGCCAAGCTGTATCCCGGGCCCTCTTTGCACATTGGAAATAGGCTGCTTGGATCCCCCCAGTATTGGAATACATTTGGGAGTCCATATATTCTGTAAACTATAGCTCCAGCTACTGTGGAGGAACTGGGCTGCCTGTACCAGTGAAGGCAGTGGTAAAAGACCACTCAAAGCACTGCCAGTGCCTTGAAGGTGTCAGCTGTGGGGCTGACAGGCAGACATATCAGTGTGATAATCCAGGAACTGGAGAAGGTAGGAGTTCCTCAGTCAGTGCACAGTTCCTATAATTTGCCTTTGTAGCCAGTTAAAAAATCTGATGGCTCCTGAAGGATGACTACCAGGCGCTAAATCATTCCCTCACTGCATTCAGTTGTGCCCTCTGTGACAATCTGTCAGGTCTCAGTGAGGGGTTGGTACTTATTAGTTGTTGCAGATTTGGCTAATATTTGCTTTTCTGTTGACACAGCCTTGAGAGTTAGGAAGTTTACTTTTGTGTGGGGTGGCTACCAGTGGACTTTGCTGCCACTCCATTCTCCAACCAGCCCCTGCACATGTGATCAAGTTACAGCTCCAGCACTCCCTACACTTTTCCTGTGCTCCCACAGGGATATCTGCCCAGCCCCACCTTGTGTCACTGGATCTGGATCAGAGCCCAAAGCTACTGCCTGCAAATGTACTGTATATTGATGATATCCTGCTTACCTGTGACTCTATTACAGACCTGGAGGCAGCTGTAGCTGCGCTCCAAACAAGTCTCAAAATGTGTGGTTGGGTGGGTCAAAGGCAGGCTGCAAGGGCCTAGCTGTCAAGTTCTTGGGAGCTGTCTGGTCTAGTAAGACAAAGTTATCAAGGGTGTAGTCATAGGCAAGAGCCAGGTCTGCCGGGTACAGTGTCACACAGGTGTAATCATAGCACTTGGAAGGCTAAGGCATGAGAGTATCTTCAACTACCTAGTGAGACACTCTCAAGAAAAACAAAAAAGATCAACACCTATCCTGCCCCTACCACAGTAAAGCATTTAGACCTTAGGGCTGCTGGGCTATTGGACAGCTTTGGTCTCACAACTGCCCCAGATACTACATCTCCTATATGGGTGGGCTAACAAAAGAAGGCAACCCAGGACTAGTCCCAATGGGAGAAGCAGCCCTTATGATTGCAAAAAGGGCCATTAAAGATGGCTCCACGCTTGCACTTCTTTTGACACAGCCTGGACCATGTGAGCTGGATGTCCATGTGACCATGTAATTTTGGGTAGGTGCTACAGCAGAAACCAGAATGGCTGTGCCAACTGACAAGGTCAGGTTGCAACCACAGAAAAGGGCAAGAATGAGACAGAAACAACCAGCTTATGCTGCTGTGACAGCCATGGACAGCAGTACTAAGGCAGATCTTGTGGTCATTGAGACCTCCTATTCTGTAACAGGATGGGTCCAAGATTGGAATGCTAAGCCTCAGAACAGTGCTGCCCAGATTCCCACGTTGGTGAAGCTGGGATACTCATGTGACAGTGTAGCACTCTGCCTACCAGGTTCCTATGGGCAGAACTACAATAGGTCCAAGGGCCTATGTATGTTTCAGTTGATGCCAAAGATTTCTCACACTTGCTGGGGACATAGCTCAGCAGCACAAATGCCTGCCTGGAAAGTTTGAGTGTGATCCCTCCCAAAAAAGATTTCCCACATTTGGAGGGGATAGAGCCAAAGACAAACCCCCACAAGGCATAGGGACTGTTTATTAGTGGCTTGTTGCTGCAGCCTGAATTATTGTGGATTATGTAGCTGGACTCAGGCGTTTTGCTTAGGCCTTCTGACTGCTAGTGAGTCAGTTGGCACATTAGATAACCCATACACTTGCAGTTAATATGTGAACAAACAGTATGTGCTACATAACTTTTTGGGAACTTGGGGGTTTGTGTGATGCCACATTTGGAAGTCACATTTCTCAGTACTGCTCTCCATGCTGCTGAAGTAGTAAAGACAAGTCGGGACATCCCCACGGCTCTGCATCTTTCCTTTGGGTTGCATGATACCAAGTAAATCTTTTCAGCTTTAACTGGTGGCAGAACACATCTACCCCCACCCCAGGCTGTCAACTGGTCTGGTATATCCTGAGCCTTGAGGTCCTGATCTTCATTCTCCTGCTCTAGCTCCTAGCCATCGTTGCATCCCACACCCCACATAGCCACCTAACCCCTCTCACACTTATACTCAGAACCCAGCAGCCAGGGCAGGCGAGGCTAGGCTCATGACACTAGCAGCAGCAGCCTGACCCCAAAGACCTGCCTCTTCAGGTCCCTCCAAGATAAAATGCTCTACAACAGAAGCGGGTAGGAATGTGAAGCTGAAAAGGTTCAAGTCTGGATGCTAGCAGTGTGGGGTGTGAGCACTGTAGGGAGTCTAGGATTCCCTACCCCAAGACCAATAGCTTTAAGGGAGTTACTGTCAGTCACGGAAGCCCTAATGCCCCAGTCCAGTGAGTGCCAAAGGGGATACTGGCCACGGCAAGTCTGAGTCCACCAAAATCCATCTGTGACGTGTCCATCACAACATCTCAGGAGTTCAGTGAGGGCAAGAAGGTCCGGATGGAAGGCATAGGTCTCACTCTGTCCCATATCCCAGGGCCGCCTGGGAGGGGTCATGTATCCCAGGTTCTGTTACTCTGGTCCGAGAGTCCAGGTCAGTTTGGAACTGCGCAGTTCCCGGAGGGTACACAAGCACATAAAAAAGGGTCCAAGCTGCAGAAGGGGCGGAGCGCAGGAGCGGCCGTAGTCACAATCAGGACGCCGGATGTGTGGCTAGATGGCGCTCCAGCAGGGCGCGATGTGAAAAGACCTTGCCGCAGACGGGACAGGGTGCTCGCTCAGGCCGGTGTGTGCGCATGTGCACGTTAAGTGAGCTCTTCTGCGTGAAGCGCTTGGCGCAGACAGCACACTGGAAGGCACGCACGCCCGTGTGTGTGACCATGTGCTTGAGCAGGTAGTCACGCAACGAAAAGGATCGCCAGCACACGGCACACTGGTGCGGCTTCTCCCCTGAGGACAACAGGTAGTAGAGGTCAGACCAGCTGTCCCTGAGGCCTCTGAACCTCCCCAGACCTGGGAGGGCACCCCAGCCTTCAACAGGGACCCTCCCAGCTGAGAACCCTGTGTCTGGATCATCTGCTGCTCACCCATACCTAGCCTGGTCTGTGGGATACTAAGTTTCTGCCTTCGCCCCCGGCATCCACAGAGCCTTCAGGTCTGGTCTGCCAGTTATCATTTTGGGGGCTGTCCATAAGGTATAGCGCCACAAGGCATAACCCAGAGAAACCAGGGATACCTCTGAATCTTCCTACTAGAAGCCTCAGTTGCCCAGGATCCCTGTTTATGGCTACTGTCATGTCTCCAGGGTGAAAGCACTGGCTGCCCACCTTGCTGGGACTGGAAAAGAGGCAGGATGTTTCTGTCTGCCTCTAGAGCAATGACGTGAACCTTTTAGAGCTTTCCACAGCCAGCTGTGTGTGACAAGCCCAGTTACCAAGTGCTAACAAAAAACCTATCAGGGATGGGTCTACAGGGTAGGAATTGCTAGGTACTGGCTCTGGCTGGCAAAACTGGTGCATCATAGGGTCCTAAGCAGCCTTCTGTAGGCCAGTTATTGAGCTCCCATCTTCCCTGGCCCAGACCTCAATCACCAAGCACCGGCCAGCTTCCGGAGCACTCCCTCCTGCCCCCGAAGAGCACCTCCTGTACTCCCACTGGGCCTTTCCAGCTGAGTTGCTTTACAGGCTTTAAGAGCTGCCAGCCACCACCTGCAATCACATCTTCCAGCACCATCCTTTCTGCCTTTCTCCAGTCTTGTGGAAGTACCTCCCTGGTCCTGCCAAAGTCAGAGGGGAGCTTCCAGTAACCTCCGTCTTAGGCTCCCCATGCCACAGAATGCACCCCCTCACCTCCAACCTATCTGTCCTGAAATGGTCCTCAGGTCTGGTCTCTACCTCCCCTGGGCAGACTTCTCCCCACTCTCCTCCCACAACACCTGCTATTCCATATGGTTCATTCAGGGTGCTGACCACACCGGTACCTACTCCCTGGGCCTTGGATTTCCAAAACTAGGAACTGTCCCTTCCAGGGCTGCTCACCCGAGTGAATGAACATATGCTTGGTGTAGTTCTTCCGTGAGCTGAAGGTCTTGCTGCAATGACTGCATTCGTAGGCAGGTGGCACAGGGGTGGCTGGGGCTACAGAGGCTGGTGGGGCTGGTGCCTCCCCTAGCTGAGTGCTGGGGGCATCAGGCTGCAGTGAGGGGTAGAAGGCAGGCCCCTGTTGTGCAGGTGGGCCAGGGGCTCCCAGATGGAAAGGGAAGAGTGGTGCTAGTGGCCCTGGGGTCTTAGCAGCAGGTGGTGGCGGGCGAGGCCCAGCTAAGGCACAGTCAGGCGGTGCAGGGGGTTCAATAGGGCCACCCTCTGTAGTGGAGCTGTCCTCCTCTCGCCAGGCAGACACGAAGCCTTCCACAAACACGTCCTCTGGTGCTGCAGCCCCCCGCAAGAAGTCCCTGCCAGCACCACCATGGTCTGAGAGGCCAGGAGGCCTAAGGGGCTCCTCTTGTGCAGTATCCGCTGAGGCTGGGAGAAAACCAGCGCAGTCAGGGAAAGCAGGGGGCGCAGAGGCTTCACCATCCTCACCATCAGTGTCTTCCTCAGTGTCCTCCTCCTCATCAGCCCTGTCATTGGGCATGGCAGATAGAGTCGGGCTGGCTGTGGGCCCCTCATCATGGGTGGGTGCGGGTGGAGCAGGCAGCTGTAGGCGCGCGGGCTGGCGCTGCTTACGGCTGTGCACAGCACCTAGGGGGCCCAGAGGGCGTGCGGCCAGCAGGTGACGCAGGCGGTGTCGCAGCTGTGCTGGGGCCAGCGGTGGGGGCACAGGCAAGGGTGCAGGGGCGCTGGGGGCCCGTGCACGAGCAATGATCTGGGTGCACTCATCAATAACTGTCTGGATACGCAGCACCGATGCAGCAGTGAGCACCTGCAGCGCCTCACCCTGTGCCACCACAAGCGATCCACTATAGAGGAATTCAACGAGTTGGCGCACCGTCTGTGCAGGCACCACTGGTGGCACGCGGATCTCTGAGTGGCCGAGCAACAGCTTGTCCTGGAAGAAGGGTGAGCCAGCGGCCAGCACACAGCGGTGTGCGCGTAGCGAAGCCTCGCGAATACGCACGGTCACGTCGCAGAAGTGCCCGCCCAGCCGCTGCCCGTTGAGGGTCTCCAGCAACGAGCGGGAGAAGTTCTGCAGGTGGATGTGGTGCACCGCCTCGGCTGCCGCCATCTACAAGGGTGGGGGTAGGTCAGCCACTTGATCTCCCCACCCTGTCCCTCATCACACAATAGCCTCTCAGGTGCACGGCATCCCAGGCCATATCAACAGCACCCTTCGCTAGCTGCCCCACATTTGATCGCCAATACACAGGACACCTGAGTTCCCCACAGCTCTACACCAGGTCCACTGTCCCCTTATCGCACTCCTTGCCACACCACCCCTCACCTCCCATAACCTTATGCTGCCAGGTACTTCCTTCCCCAGGGGAGGATCATGTGGGGAAGAGGCTGGGGACCCTCGTGCACAACCTGTCTCTCTCACTCAGAGCAGACCTCCGGGCTTTTTAGTTCCCCTCCTCACACTTGTCAACCTCAGTGCAGAGCTAACTCTCCTGCAAGACCCAGGGCTATTGCCTCAGAATCCAAATACACTAACTAGAACACATACTAAGGTCTTCACAAGGGGTGTGCAAGGCAGGGGGGAACCTCTCTTTGGGCATAGTGATCTGGAGTGTGCCTGGGCACAGAGAGCTGAGGGTGGATGACTGGGGAGTGAGGTGGCTGCTGCTTCAAAGAGGCAGGTATTGGCCCAAGGAGAGACCCAGCACGGTCCGGCTTTTCCTGGCATCTCTGTGGGGCCTGGAAAGGGGGCATTGTGGGACTCGGTGCAGGGGTGAGGGAGAAGCAGTAGCAAGTTGCAACGCAGGCATGGCTGAGTATTTTATTTCCCATAATTTCTCTGGCACCTGGACAGGGAGTGTAAGCCCAGGGGCGTCGGGGAATCAGAGAGGTTCGGTACACTTAGCTAGTCCCGTGGCATACACGGCCCATCTAAGGGAAAGACTGACACAGGTTGCACTCCAGATCTATCTAGGCTACCCACCTATTCCTCACAGCCACAGACCCAGCATAGAGTCCCACTTACTCCTGCCCCATTCCATTAGGGTCCACCGGAGTCTGTGCCTTCGCTGCACCCCAGGAAGACCCTTTTTTCGCGTGACCCCCACTTGGCCCCCAGACCTGGTCTGGCGTGGGTTGGGCTGGTGCACTAACTACCTGCAGGACCCTCCACATTTGCCGCCTGTCGCCCCACGACGCCGGCCACAGGCCCTCCTGTTTCAGAGCTCTGAGGTCTCTGCTGGGGAGTGAACTCTGGCAGCCGCCACAGGGCCCGGCCCTTGCTTCCCGACCCTCCTTGGCGCCGTCGCCACAAAGATCCCCGCGCGCTTCCCGCCGCGCCTCCGCCCACGATTGCACTCTTGTCCAGAACTCCGCGTCCTCCTCACCAGAGCGAGCCGCCTGGCCAGTCCCGGAGCCGCCGCGACCCCCAGGATCTAGTCCGCGCCCACCTAGGTTTCCCGCCTCCGCGCCCCGATTGCGCAGCGCCCTCTCGCGTCCGCAGCTGCGCTGAAGCCCAGCGCGAGCGCTCCTACCCTGGCACGCCTCGGCCTAGTGGCGGCCCTGCAACAATAAACTACCCATCGGACCCCACCTCCTTCTCCTCCTGAGCCAGCAGGCCGTGCAGTGGCAGCCTTCTCAACGCGAGAGCCACGCTTCCGGGCCGCGACTCACACGGAACCCAAAGCCACTGCCGCCCGGAAGAGGACGGAGTGCTGCTCGGTGGCACATTTCCGGGATTTCCCTGGCGTTTTGGCACTGCTGCCAGGCCGCACTTCCGGCTCTCATTAATCTCGGAACCAAAGTTGTAGAATCTAGAGCGGCTGCGAAGCAGGTAGTCTCTGGGTGGGCTAGAGACTGCTCACAGTGGGTTAGTGGCAGGGCCTCCAGTCCGTTTAGCAGTTTGAACCTCAGTGCCACCTAGGAAAGCTAGTATCTCCACCTTGATAAGAGAAGAGAAACCAAGGTCGTAGGCGAAGAGGGACGACAAAGAAGCTGTTCTCCCCCGAAAGGGAGAAACACCTCGGAGGCGATGGACAGGTCACATTACAACACATCGCCCCTTACTGTCCGGGGATGCAGGGCCTTCTCTAATAAGGAAGAAAGGTGGGGACACCGAATACCCCAAGCCTGCTTCCCCACTCCTTTCCCTGCAGGAAGGAACCGCCCCAGCCTGTAGGTCAGTGCCTTTATCTTCTGCCCTTCTGAGCTGAGACTTGGAGGAGTGACTTGTTTCTTTTTCTATTTTTTTTTTCTTTTCTTTTTTTCTTTTAATGTCTTTTTGAGACAGGGTCTTGCTATGCAGTTCAGACTGGTCTTGAGCTCACTTTGTAGCCCAGGCTAGTCTCAAACTCTCAACAATCCTCCTGCCTCAGACTCCGTAGTGCTGGGATTACGGGCGTGAGCTACTGAGATAGCTCAGACCCCGGAATAAAATCCAAGGAAGCAAGAAATTAAGAAAATTCAGAGCAAAGGCTTTATTCCAGGCCTGGCGACGTGGCTCCCTTTGGATCAACCCAGAGACTGCACGCCTAACAGACTAAGGAGGAATATTTAAAGCTAAAAACCGCAAAGCTATAAAACTTTCGACTTAGTTCTGATAACATCTGGAGCTCTTGGTGCATTCTGCTACTCCCACCCTGCAGTTAAACATTATCTCAGAATAGCACACCTGCACTAACATGTGGAAAGGGGTAGGGAGTTACAAGAAGCTGAAACTTAAAATTTTATAAGGATTAGAAACTTAACCCTGTCAAGGCGGCACATACAGAACAAGACAGAGGCTCATTGGTTAGAGTTAAGCCATAACATTCCCCTCTGATGTTGTGACTGAGACCAAGTCTTTGGACTAATGTTATAGATCCTGGGGAATAAGTTCATAGGCTTGCTGAGGGATCATCATCAGCTTTATGTTCTGCATTTGTTGTCTAATATATGCAGTTAGTTTATTGATTATACCAGGACCTACTGAAATCATGAGTAGCAACCCTAGCAATGGTCCAAGCAAGGGCACAAGATAAGGCAGAATTCCATTCCAGACACTCCAAAAGGGGTTTTCAAATAGCTCTCTTCTTCTTTTTACCAGATCTTCCTGCAATCTCCTGATTTTATCTTGAACAATGCCAGACTTGTTTACATAAAAGCAGCATCGTAGGGGCTGGGGATTTAGCTCAGCGGCATAAGCACCTGCCTTGCAAGCGGACAGTTGTGAGTTCGATCCCTGGTACTGATAAAAAGAAAAAAGAAAAAAAAAAAAAAAAACCAGCATCGTTCTTGCAATGCCGCACAGATGTCTCCTTGTCTTGCCATCAGGAGGACTAGCCCTCTTCTATTTTATTTTTTGCCCTCTTCTATTTTGAAGAACTACTTCAGCTAATGAATCTATTTGATCTTGAATGTCCTGAATGGTACTAGATAATGCCTGCATATCATTGACGACCTGGTTGGAAAGTTGAACAGAGACCCCCACTCCTGCTGCCCCCATACCCAAGGCTCCTGATATCCCCAGACCCACCAATAAAAGGATAAATTGAACTGCCCTCTTTGAGTGGCCTGTAATGTAATCCAGGATAGGAATGGGGCAGACTCTTCCCCGGGTAAAACCTCTATGTCAGGCAGCAGGACAGCTGTGACACATATTCCTGACCAGTTGGTTGGGAGGAAAGTATGGGCCAGATTGCCTCCATAGATGAACACTTGTCCTTTGGCAGGACAAAGAGAGGTAGTCTGGTTAATTGTAGAACTACAGTTAGCAAAAGCAATGAACCCCACGTCAATGTCAGAAGTATCATTATGAAAACTTCCTTGGAGACAGGGAGAGTCCTTAAACCCTACTGATTGTACTCTAAAGGGAAGACCAGCACTACAATTTAAGTGATCTGGTTCTTCCAGTGTGGTCAGGGGGGCACTGGAGGGGATTGCAAGAGGCATGGGAGAGCCTTGTGCCATACATAGCCAACAATCTTTAGCTAAAGTCGGGTTGGAAGCATTCAAGGCCCTATAAGTGGCTCCTGGAATATCAGAAGTCTGAGCATACAAATCAATTCCCCGTGATTTAGGCAGCATCAAGGGGTGGTAATGCACCTGGGGAAATGTTATCTCTATAATCTGTTTAAACCATTCTTCAACCCTGAGTTCTCTGGTCTTATCCTGTGGACCACCTCCATCAGAGACATGTATTGGGGCCACCTTACTCCAGCACACTGCTTTACCAATCGTGCTGTTACGTGAGGCTTGGGCCTACTTTGAATTTCCTATTACTGTTGGAGTGACAGACCAGTTGCCTCCAGCCCTTCCAATGCGTGTCCTCAGAAGCTCAGCAGTGAAATAAGTCTTGCTGTCTTTTCCTGTGCATTCCTGCACTGAGTCATAGCAGGAGGAAAGCATTTCTGAATAATAAGGACAATCCTTAGGGCATGGCCCCGGTTGGCGCCTATTTTAGCTATCACAGGAGGTTTTTCTTTGCATTCCCACATTTGAGTAACTCCTGTAGCTGCAGGCCTAGCAACAAGAATGGCTATTTTGTTTCCATAATCTGTGTGACTTGTCTGAACAATTCGCCCCCCATTACTACCAGGAAATTGGCCTCCTCCTCGATCACAAAGACTCCGGTACAAAGATTTTAACAGCTGTTCTCGGCTTACAGGAGGTCTGAGCCTGCCATGTGAGGTCGGTAACAGCGCTATGAAAATCCCCAGTAGTGGGCAAAGGCAAGCAAGCTAAAGCAGTACATGCCTGATGCAATCTAACTAAGTCTAGTCAGTTTTAACTTTAAGGGGTTACCAGTCTGCTGTACAATCCATTGGATGTGGTCCTCGTCATCCGCCGTTTCCAGTGGCTTTACATGGCTATGGTGAATCCACAGAGTCTTTCCAGCTACCTTGACTGCAGTCTTGCACCACGGTGAAAGGTCCTTCCCAGTGGGGTTTGAGGGAGTCTTGATGGTGTCGCACCAGGACTGAAGTACCCAGTTCAATGGGATTCATTAGTGGTGTCTCCGAAGGTGGGTCTGGGTGTTTTTGTCTAAACAGCTAGTGGATCGAGGCCAACACAGGCTGGAGTGTCTGCAGGGACTTAATGAGATCTTGGTTAGTTATTTCTACTAATTTGTCCTCTGACAGTTTCAGGACCAGTGGAGGGGCCATCTAGTTTTTTTTTTTTTTTTTGTCTTTTTCCTTTTTATCAGTACTGGGGACCGAACTCACAACTGCCTGCTTGCAAGGCAGGCGCTTATGCTGCTGAGCTAAATCCCCAGCCCGGGTACATCGAGTTCTTAACAGTGCAAATGGAAGAAGGCTCACCCAATTATTACCAGTTTCTAAAGACAGCTTAGCTAAAGTGTCCTTGAGAGTTGGATTCATACATTCTACTTGTCCTGAACTTTGTGGTCGATAGACACAGTGAAGTTTCCAATCAATTCTTAATGCCTGGGCTAACTTTTGGGTGACTTGGGATGTGAAAGCTGGGCCATTATCAGACCCCATGGATAGTGGAAGGCCAAATCGAGGTATGATCTCTTGCAATAGTTTTCTAGTTACTACTAAGGCTGACTTGGACTTAGTAGGAAAAGCTTCTACCCAGCCAGTAAAAATATCTATTAATACCAAGAGATAGCGATGTCCCTGTAAACCAGGCTTTACCATGTCTGTAAAGTCTACTTCCCAGTGTTCTCCTGGGGCCATTCCTCAATGCTGGGTAGTTTCCACTGGCAAACTCCTGGTCGGGTTTACCAACAGACACTGTGAGCATCTGGAGCTCAAAGAGGTGGTCAATTTGGAGAGTCTTGGAACGAAAAACCAAGTTCTGAACAATTTAGTAAGTTTGGTTCCCCCTAAATGGGTGGTTTGGTGAGCCTGGTGTGGCAGCTCACCTTTCTAGTGCCTCTAGCAACAGCACTTGCTTATCTGGTAAATGGTACCAACTCCCTGGAGTGAAGAGTGAAGAGCTTTGCTCTAAGCTGAGATGCTAATTGTGGGTCTTTCTTTGTATAAATTGGTTCTGATAAGGTAGGAGGAACCAACATCAGGGCAGCTACTTCCTCGGTAGGCCCCTCTGATGTGGTTGCTATTTTTCCGAATGGTTTGGTCTGCTAAATTATTTCCTTGGATGATGGGGTCTTCTCCTGTCTGATGAGCCTTGAAATGAATAATAGCAACCTGCTGAGGTAGCCAGACAGCTGCCAACAAGTCTAGAATCTGTGGGGCATTTTTTATCTTAGTCCCGGCTGAGGTTAAGAGACCTCGCTCTTGATAGATGGCTCCATGTACATGTACAGTAGCAAAAGCATATCTACTGTAGGTATAGATATTTATCCTCTTCCTGGTGGCTAACTTTAATGCTTCAGTCAAAGCAATGAGCTCAGGCTTTTGGGCTGAGGTGCCAGGCTCTAACTGCTTAATCCAGAGTACCTCCTTTTCTTTCTTTCTTTTTTTTTTTTTTTTTTTTTTTTTTGTCTTTTTCCTTTCTATCAGTATCAGGGATCGAACTCATGACTGCCTGCTTGCAAGGCAGGTGCTTATGCTGCTGAGCTAAATCCCCAGCCCCAAGGAGTACCTCCTTTTTGGTGGTCACTGCTGCTCTGGCCACTGTTTGCCATCCTGGATGAAACTGCTCCCACTGGTGAAGTAGTTATCAGCATTCTCCAAGGGCTGGTCAGTAAGTTCAGCCCATAGGTTCTGCTGCATTCCAAGGAGGTCCACACACTCACGAAGAGGCAGATTTTGAGTTCCAGGGTCATCACCAGGCATAAGGTTTAAGGCTGAGGAAGTCTTAAAAACCACCGACTTCTGGGTCTAGGAGTAGAGCCTGATCATGCAGAATTCTATCATTCCGAGAGCCACTTCTCAGGAGGAGTCTTGATAAGAGTTTCTAAACTGTGGGAGGTGACCACAGAAATCTTTTGTCCAAAAGTGAGTTTCTTAGCCTCCTTAAAAAAACATTGCCACAGCAGCTAATATTCTTAGGCAGGGGGGCCAACCCCTGCCACTGGATCAAGTCTTTTAGAGAGGTAGGCTACAGTCTCTTCCATGGGCCAATGTCCTGGGTTAGGACTCCTTTGGCAATGCCCCTGAGTTCATCTACTCAGGGGCAAGGTAAATGGCTTGGTAACATCAGGGAGTCCCAGGGCTTGGGCCTCTGTTAGGGCTCATTTGAGCTGCTGGAAGGCCTATTCATATTCATCTGTCCAGTCCAAAGATTTTTGAGTTTCTCCCTTAAGGGAGTCATACAGGGAGTGTGTTATCTCAGTAAAATTTAGAACCCATAGTCTACAGTATCCTACAGCCCCCACTCTCATACTTGTTTTTTAGTTTCTGGGATAGGAATCTATAATATGGCCTGGATTCTTTCCTTGGATACAGTTCTCTTTCCTCCCTGTAACTCATAGCCCAAATAAGTCACGGTTTGGTGACACAATTGGGCCTTTTTGGCTGAAACCTTGTAGCCTAATTGTCCCAAGGTTCTTAATAGCTCCCCTGTGGCCTCTCGACAGGACTCCAAAGTGGGGAAGGCTATCAGCAGATGTCTACATATTGTAAAAGTGTCACCTCAGGGTGTTCCTCTTGAAACACCAAGAGATCTTTGGCCAGGGCCTCATCAAAAAGAGTGGGTGAGTTTGTAAAACCCTGTAGCAACCGAGTCCAGGTCGGTTGTTTCATGACCTCAGAATCTGGGTCAGTCTATTCAAAGGCAAAAATGGGTTGACTCACTGGGGTGAGAGGTAGAGTGAAGAAGGCATCCTTGAGGTCCAATACGGAGTACCAGGTGCACTCTGGGTTGAGGAGGCTGAGTAAAGTGTAGGGGTTAGGCACAGTTGGATGTAAAATTAATACCCACCTGTTGACCTCCCAGAGGTCTTGCACAGGGCGATAGTCATTTGTCCCTGGTTTCTGGACTGAAAGCAGAGGGGTGTTCCAAGGGGAGACACAAGGAATGAGGATACCATTGTCTCTTAGTCTCTGTATGTGAACTTTAATTCCCTTTCGGGCTTGGAGACTTATTGGATATTGACACAAACAAACAGGACACGCCTGGGGTAGGAGCTCTACTACAAGGGGCACTTGGTTGACCACCAGTCTTGGGATGAGACCTCTGGGATTTCTTGTCTCCATTTCTTTAATAATTTTAGTTCTAAGTCCATAGGTGGCAGCTTAGGTGAATCGGACAAATTTTCCAGCAGGCAGTAATTTTCTCCTTCTGGGACAAGGGCTAAAACTCTAATGCTCTTTTCAGGACCTTGGGTTGAGCCCGTTCCCAATCTTAGTCTCAGCTCATTTGTCAAGAAATCAACTTGCACTTGCAATTTATGAAGGAGGTCTCATCCTAGGAGGGGGTCTGGACACTATGGTACCCATAGAAAATCATGGTGGACCAACTTGTGGCCTGGTCGAGCTAAACTGGTGGTTACCTTTGGCTGTGATCTTCATCCCCCTGTGGCTCCTAGTACATTAACTGAGTCTTTGGTCAATTTTCCCAAGAGTTGGGTTAGTACAGAATAGGTGGCTCCTGTGTCCACCAGGAAGTCCACCGGGTGTCCCCCCACTTGAAGAGTTATCCGGGGCTGGGGGGGCAGCAATGAGCCCTGACCTCCTCATTGCTGAGACAACAAAGCCTTTGCTTCTCTCTCAAGGTTAGCCTTTAACTTTGGGCAATCCTTTCACCAATGTCCTATCTCTTTGCAATGTGCACACTGTTCCTTATCTAAAGGAGGTCGTTGTCCCTGGGCTTCCTTTTTATTGGTATTGGCCGGCTTTTTAGTTTCTCTTTCACGGAGTAATTCTAACACTTTGGTCATTTTCTTGTTGGTGGCTTCTTGTAAATTTTCTCTATTTTCAAAAAACTTTTGTGCTATCTCTATCAACTGGCTGAGGGGCATTCCCTCAAATTCCTTAAGCTTTTGTAATTTTCTTTTTTTTTTTTTTTTGTCTCTTTCCTTTTATCCGGTACCAGGGATTGAACTCACGACTGCCTGCTTGCAAGGCAGGTGCTTATGCCGCTGAGCTAAATCCCCAGCCCCCTAGCTTTTGTAATTTTCTTCTAACATTGGGAGCTGACTGGGACATGAAAGCAATATTAATTGTTTGTGCATTCTCAGGTGCCATAGGATTAATTGGGGTATGCAATCTATATGTTTCTAGGAGGTGCTCTAAGAACATAGCAGGAGATTCATCAGCCACTCAGGACAAGTTGGTGGGCTTCTTGGCAGCTTCGTGGAGCACATCTAGAAGCCTCAGGTGATAATCATCGTGAGCCCTCTTATCTCCATCCGTGTTGGGGTCCCAGTCAGGTTTAGATGCGCAGTCTCTCTTCAGCTCTGAAGAGCATGTGCAGGATCTGTTGGCAGTCATCCCAGGTGGGGCGATGAGCAGAGAATACAGATTCTAAAAGGTCAATCAGAGTTTCAGGATCCTTTGAAAAAGGAGGGTCCTCGGTTTTCCAATTATAAAGGTCTGAAAATGAGAAAGGAGTATACACAAACATTGAGCCACCACTCAGAGCGGGGACCTCCCGTAATGGACAAAGCAGGGCCACCTCAGAGCTCTGCTCTGAAGATGCCTTGGGTCATGGGTGTCGGTGGAAATGGGACTAGGCAGGGGGGATGGAGCAGTGGAATCAGGTTGGGGGTCAGAGGTGGGATACAGGGGAGGCAGCGGGAGTGCCTCCAGCAGGTCAAGCGGGTCTTCTTCAGGGGGCAGGACCAGAGGCACCATAGGTTCAGAAGGTAGCTTTTTGAGTTTTACTTTTGGTTTGAGGGCCGCAATGACTCCTTCGAGAGAGGGCTTAATCCAGGAAGGGGCAGCATAAATTATGTCTATCCAGATCTGAATATAGCCAATTTGATCAGGGTGAGCAGGGGCCCAAAAACATACCAGTGAGTGGCTTGTACTGTCTCCATGTTAAAAGACCCAGAGGGGGGCCAGACCCTCTGGGTCCCTAATGGCTATTCCTGTGTGACAAAAGTTGTTAATCTTTTTTTTTTTTTTTTTTTGTCTTTTTTGTTTTTATCGGTACCAGGGATCAAATTCACGACTGCCTGCTAGCAAGGCAGGCGCTTAGGCAGGCGCTTGTGCCGCTGAGCTAAATCCCCAGCCCTTTGTTAATCTGGTTTGATAAACCTTTTCCCCATATCCCTTAGCTCACTGCTTGAATTCTTTGACGTGATCAAGAACAAGGCTAAGGGGCGTGCTGGATTTAGATTCAGTTTGCCCCATGGCCGGCAAAGATGTCAGTTCTTTCCTGTGGGAGAATCTAAGAGACAGAGATAAGATTAGGAGGAAGAGACAGAACAATAATGAGACGAAAATAATGGTCAAAATCCCTTTTGTTCGTTTTGGGCTTGTAGAAGGGGGTTCCTAGGAGAAAATGTTCTGTTAGATTTGGGTAACCAAAAGGAGAACAGTTAGACCAAATAGACATACAAGACAAGACAAGCTGCAGCAAAAGTGGCCTTTGTTCAAAAATAGGTCAAATTGTGGGATCTGGAGGAATTATCAAATTAACCAATGGAGCAGCTCCCACTCAGGGAAAAGTCACAAATGGACAAGGCTCGTCCCAAAAACCAATTGACTCTGCCCTCAAGAGGTCCTTGCTCCCCAAATTGAGGATGTCCCCTCCAAAAGTACAAATTGACAGTGGTCCAAACAAACCCTCCAGAGTACTTACTTTTAGGTGTTCAGAATTGAGTCGGGGGTCTTGCTTCCATCCCAGATGAGCCCTCAAATGAGACAGCTTGAACACCAGAATAAAATCCAAGCAAGCAAGAAATTAAGAAAATTCAGAGCAAAGGCTTTATTCCAGGCCTGGCGACACAGCTCCCTTTGGATCAACCCAGAGACAGTGTGCCTAACAGATTAAGGGAGGGATATTTAAAGCTAAAAAAACCCCACAAAGCTATAAAACTGCCGACTTAGTTGACTTAGTTCTGATAAAATCTGGAGCTCTTGGTGCATTCCGCTACTCCCACTCTGCGGTTAAACATCTCCGAATAGCACACCTGCAATAACATGCGGAAAGGGGGTAGGAAGTTACAAGAAGCTAAAAATTAAGCTTTTACAAGGATTAGAAACTTAACCCTATTGAGATGGTGCATACAGAACAAGACAGAGGTGCATTGGTTAGAGTGAAGCCATAACAGTTCCATTTCTAGCCTTAGAAAACAAACAGCAAAAAACACCAGGTCTGAATGTTTCTGATCTGACAGCTCCATATTATGGCCTACCTGCCTGCCTGCTTGCTGGCTCTGCTTCTGCCATGAAAAATATAGTTTCATCAGGCATGGTGGCACATTCCAGTACTCGGGAGGCTGAGGCAGAAAGGATTGTTGCAAGTTCAAGACCAGCCTGGGCTACAAAGTGAGCTCAAGGCCAGCCTGAACTGCAAAGCAAGACCCTGTCTCAAAAAGAAAGAAAAAAAATTTCAAGATAAAATCTTTAACTCTGAGCGGAAAACTGCTAGTAGACAAAATTCCCTATTTGCCTATAGTTCTGACTGAGGTCATGCTTCTGTTTTTGAGATATGGTTTCTTATGTAGTTCAAGATAGCCTCAGACTCACAGTGATCCTCCTGCTTCAGTCTTCTGAGTGCTGAGATTACAGGTGTGCACCACCACAACTGGCCAATGCATCTGAAAGAGTCCCTAAGCAAAGGAGGAAGGGGTAGATGGTCAATGAATTATAGATTCACTGTGCTAATTTGTTTTTTTTTGTTTTTTGTTTTTTTTTTTGGTCTTTTTTCCTTTTTATTGGTACTGGGGATCGAACTCACGACTGCCTGCTTGCAAGGCAGGCACTTATGCCGCTGAGCTAAACCCCCAGCCCCCCACTGTGCTAATTTGATTGGGAAAGTACTGACAGTTTAGAAGTTACCCATTGATGGTTTAGTCGTTTGCCTCTAAACTCACAAAATGTTTGTAGAGGTAGGAAACCAAGGATCTAGGCAGTGACCAGGAAGATTTTACCCCGTGTAGTGTAGTCCTGAGCCAATGAGGAAAGGGGGAAGGGACCTGCATGTTATGGGTTAGATTGCTTGCTGTTACTGCCCCAGGGTGTGCCTGTCTACCTGTTAGTACCAGCTTTCACAAGACTGAGAAATGAAGTCTCTGGCTAGGGATATAGCTCAGTGGCACTTGCCTATCTGCCAAGTGTGAGGCCCTGAGTTTGATTCCTGGTACCAAAAAGAAAAAAAAAAAAGTCTCGCCAGAGCTACACTCTCCCAATTCTCAGCCTGATCTTTCCATTGTACATGATCAAAGATGAAGGGGGCTTGTTCCTTATACTACCAAGCTTGACAAGCCCCTCTATTCTCTGCTCTCTGCTCTCCCACAGCACAGGCCCCAGAACGCCCACATTTGCACTGCCTGATTTGGCTTCTGCTGTCTGTAGTATCTTCTCACACCTCTTAGATGTTCCCACCCCCACCCCACCGCCATCTCCCTGACCTTTCCCCCACATTCCGCCATAAGGTGAGTGAGGGGTCTTTTGAATCCTTTACCCAACAGAAATAGGGACATAAAGCTCCATTCTACCCTGGGCTGCCACTGAGCTTGACCCTGTGGGATTACAGCTTTTGGAGGGGGAAAAGGAAGTGAGTTTTTTAAAGACAGGGTCTCCCTATGTAGTTCAGGTTCAGGCTGTCCTTGAACTCACTAGGTAGCCCAGGCTGGCATCGAAGTCATGGTGATCCTTTTTTCTCAGTTTCCTAAGTGCTGGAAGTACTGGCATGTGCTACCAAGCCAGGCTTGATCTGTGGAATTCTAAGACAGCAAGTCAAGCTGATATGCTGGAGGCAGGACTATAAAAATGCTGCTCTCTGGGATTCTGTGCCTCCAGATCCTGTAATATGATCACATTAGCTGAATAGCTCAATTGCATGGCAAAGGGAGTTTTGCAGATATAATTGAAATTACTAATCAGGCAGTTCTCAGGTAACTGTGAGGGCCCTTAGAGGCAAAAGAAAAGCCTGGGCATGGTAGTGCACACATGGAATATCAGCACTCTGGACACTGGGGCAGGAGGCCCTCTGTAAGTTTGAGGCCAGCCTGGGCTACATAGTGTGTTTAAAGTCAACCAAGACTACATAGTGAGGCCCTGTTTGTTTGTTTATCTTTTATTTATTTATTTATTTTTTTTTTTTTGTCTTTTTCCGTTTTATCAGTACTGGGGATCAAACTCAGGACTGCCTGCTTGCAAGGCAGGCACTTATGCCGCTGAGCTAAATCCCCAGCCCTGTTTATCTTTTTGAGACAGGGTCTCACTATGCAGTTCAGGCTGTCCTTGAGCTCACTTTGTAGCCCAGAGCTGGTCTCAGACTCTCAATGACTCTAATCCTCCTGCCTTAGCCTCCAGAGTGCTGGGATTACAGTATATATATTGTCTGAAATGTAGGGTACATATTCCTTGCTGGTTGTTCCCACCTGGTGCATGCATCTCTGTTCCCTCTTGCCAAGGCCAGCCTTCCTTGTTCACTTTTATGTTCTTGTTCCACATGAAGCAGCTGTCACTACACTTTATAGAGAGAGTAGCAAGACATGGTGGTACACACCTGTAATTCCAGCTTTTGAGAGGCTGAGTCAGGATGATGACTGCAAATTTGAGACCAGCCTGGGCTACACAGTGAGTTCAAGATCAGCCTGAAATACAGAGAGATCCTGTCTTGAACAAAAAGAAAAAAAGTGCTGGGCACATAGATCAATGTGAAGGCCTGAGTTAAATTCCTAGTACTGCCAAGAAGAAGAAAAAAGAATTTATGGCTGGAAGAGGTCTATCTGTTTCTGGAAGAGTAAAAGGGTACCTAGAAAGGTGTGTGTGCAAGGGGGCCTCTCTTAGGTGAAGAGGTGAAGGACTGCGGGTTTCCTTGTGTACTGACTGGGGAGGGTTGTACACCATACCACGCCATGCCATCCCACTGCTCTGGTGTCCTGTGCACATACTTGCAACCTTGTGCCATGTTGGATGATGTTCTTTGCAGTTTGAGGGCCTATAGTGGGTTGATACATTGTGTTAACTTGAGAAGTTTAGAAGTTTAACCAAGCTATTCAGCAGGGGCTAGGGTCCTCACTTTATAAACATTCTGAAAGCCAGGGGATTTAGCTCAGCAGCCTAAGTGCCTGCCTTGCAAGTGCGAGGTCATGAGTTTGATTCCTGGTACCAAAAAAAGAGAAAGATTTCTACCTATAAACATCCTGAGCCTGTGCACAAGAGGAGGGTACTGAGATGGTGTGAATTTTACACACCCTAGGGGTGTGTTTACAATACAAGGGAGGGGCCAGAGTATTTAGCTTAACCAGGTAAGTACTGCGGCAATCGAGAGGTCCTGTATTCCATCCTGGCACCAAAACAAAAAAACAAGATGGGAAAAGAGACTCACTCCCCTCACCACTTTGTGATCTCCTTGCTTTTGCTGTCTTCTGCTTCCTTGAAGTATTGCCCTTGGGCCATGCCACCCTACTTTGGACCGGCCAGTTGAGGACTGAAACCTCCATGAACTATGAGCTAAATACACCTTCGCTTTCTTAATTTTGGGTGTCGGGTATTTTGTCCCAACAGCAAGAGAAAAGTAACCCTGATAGGAACTGTATGGAAAACAGGACCTACTATATGTAGCAACAGATGCTGGACAGATATCAGGTAGAAAGGAGAGGACCCAGCTGACTTCCTGTGAAGGTGTCACCCTAAAGGAAGAGGCCTAGAGGATGAGGGGGGGGTGGTCCTGGTAGGGAGGCCAGGATGGGCCTAAGGGCAGAGAAACTCAACCTTGACCTTTGGGGCAGCTAAAGGGAAGTGAAACTACTTCAGGATCCCAAGCCTTGAGAACATACCTATTAGCTTCTAGGTCTGGAGTTTTAGCATAGTGGTAATATAGGGGCATTTTAAAGAACAAGTGAGTGAAGGGCTGGGGATTTAGCTCAGCAGCATAAGCACCTGCCTTGCAAACAGGGGGTCATGAGTTTGATCCTCAATACCGATAAAAAGTTAAAAAAAAAAAAAAAAAGAACAAGTGAGTGTAGCTCAGGACACTGGTTTACAAATAGTGAAAAATTTGGCTGAGTATGGTGATGCATATTCATAATCCCAGCACTTGGGAGGATGAGACAGTAGGATCACTTTGAATTTGAGGCCAACCTAGAATACATAGTGTATATAAGGCCAGCTTAAAATTAAAGAGAGACCCCATCTCAACACAAAACAAAAAGAAAGAAAGAAAGAAAAAAAGGGAAGATTTTCAGGTTAAACCCAGAATGGCAGAGGCAGGCACCAGAAAGAGCTATGAGGTCACAAGGACTGTAGGCCTAAAATGAGCGTAAGTCCAGCTGCAGTGACCTGTAGGCTCCTTCATCCCAGGTGGCTGAAGTAGGACCTCTCTGATGACACAGGTCAGAGGACAAGACATTTCCCACCAAGGCCCCCCTCTGTCTCCTTTCACTGCCAGGACCACCCTCTGGCAGCTCGATGCAGCCTGGTACTCATATCTTTGTGTCCGCCCACCACACCCATCCTGGCGTGCCCGGACTGTGCCAGACTGGGGCACAGGTGCCGAGATCCAGGCCTGCCTGCCAGGAGTACAGGGAAGCATATCTTGTGAAAATGCTTCCCACAAGGCAAGTGGAGTGGAGGCTGAGATGTTGCCCACAAGGCAAGAGAAGAGAGGCCCAACCTCTCCCTGGAGAAGCATACAGGAGTGCAAGAAGCAATGAGTGGAGCCAGGCAAGGTCACTTCAGGGTTTATTTGAAAAGTAGAGCAACCAAACAGAGATTAAGGAAGAACAAAGAGAGGTAGGACATCTTTCATAT